CCATTTTTTCTTCTTCAACCATCTGATGTACTTGTAGCATTCCACGCCCACCTATTTGCCTTGGTAGATAAAGTCTATCAATGTCACTGCGTGGATGAAGGGCATGATTCATTGTCATTATTTTTCTGGTCTGCCTATCCATTGCTTTTAGTTCTGCTTGAGTCCAGTCCACTATTCCAGCTGTGTACCTAATGACTGGGATTGCCCAGGTGTTGATTGCCTTTATGGTATTTCCTCCATTGAGTTTGGATTTTAAGATCTTCTTCACTCTCTTGATGTATTCACCTCTAATCTTTTTCTTGACTTCAGTGTGCTTGATGTTGTCAGCTTGAAGGATACCCAAGTATTTGTAGTACTCTTCCTCATCCAGACTCTTAATGTTATTTTCGTGGGGCATCTTGATTCCTTCAGTTTTCACTATTTTTCCTTGTTTGATAGTAAGTGTGGCACATTTGTCCAAGCCAAACTCCATTACAATATCTTGGCTATATATACGGACAGTGTTGAGCAGCGATTCTATTTCAGATGATGTTTTTCCATACAGCTTCAGATCATCCATGTAAAGGAGGTGGGATAGTCTAGCAGATGTTTTTGATGTTTGATAGCCATGTCCTGAGTTATTCAGTATTGTTGACAGAGGAAACAGTGCAATAACAAATAGTAATGGTGATAATGAATCTCCTTGAAATATTCCTCTCTTGATATTAACCTCTCCCAGCTTTCACCATTGATCTGCAACTGTGTCTTCCATTGTGCCATCGATTTTGCACAAATTTTCTGATGTTTCTACTGACTCCTGTTATTTCTAGGCACTTTATTATCCAATCATGTGGCAGAGAGTCAAATGCCTTTTTGTAGTCAATCCATGCCACATTCAGGTTGGTCTTCCTTCTCTTGCAGTTTTCCAAGATCATTTTGTCTATTAGGAGTTGATCTTTTGTTCCTCTGCTATTGGGGCGGTTTCCTTTCTTCTTCTTCTTCTTCTTCTTCTTCTTATTATTATTATTATTATTATTATTATTATTATTATTATTATTATTATTATTATTATTTATACACATAATGCCAATCTAGTGAAAAACAGAAGCAGAGAAATAGTTTTTATAGTAATGAAATTAGTTCTAATTTTGACTCCTCCTCCAAGATGGGAGGGTTTGCTTCTCCTGCAGACGAACAGCTGATTTTTCCTGTCAAAGCAGGAAGTTAAAAACTTCCAGTTTTACTTGGTAGCAGGCTCCCTAGATCAAATGGGATCAGCCAGGAATGATCCAAGATGACCTTTGGGCAACTGTGGATACTTCTGGAAAGAGGTTGCAATTCCTGCTAGAGGGGTCGAAGAGCCCAAACTCCATGTTTTCTCTCAGCTGTTTGGTATTTTGAAGCATAATTGGCTTTTAATTGCACTATCAAAGTTTTTTCTTTTAATTTGATTCTTAGTTTTAAAAGTTAAGTGGCTGGTTGAAGGCTGATTTATTCTAAGCACTTGCTGGATTTTAACATCAACTTATTTTTGTTTCTTCACTGGTATTTTTTGGAGGGGGGCTGTGAACTATTTTCAATTTCCCTATGGAAAGTGAATTTTCTGAGTAGTAAAACTGACCTAATGGATTTATATCTATACAGGAGTCCTCAACTTAGAATCACAAATGAGCCGAAAATTTCTTTTGCTAAGTAAAACATTTGTTAAGTGAATTTTGCCGCAATTTACAACCTTTCTTGCCACAGTTGTTAAGTTAATCACTGCAATTGTTAAGTTAGTCACACAGTTATTAAATGAATCTCACTTCCCCATTGACTTTGCTTGTAAGAAAGTAACAAAAGATGATTACATGTCCTTGGGACACTGCAACTGTCATAAATATGAGTCCAAGTGTCTGAATTTGATCACATGACCATGGGGATGCTGCAGTGGTCATACGAAAAAAATCTTAAGTCAATTATTCTAGTACTATTGTAACTTTGAACAGTAATTAAATGAACTGCTGTAAATTGAGGACTACCTGTACTGGTTTTCATTACAGGATTTAATTCTTACAAAGTTTTGGTCTGGATTTTTTTTAATTTTTGATGGAACTTTTCATTTTTCTTCTTTTTTCATACCTTCATTCTGAGATTATTTTAATGTTCTCTGTGACTATTTTGTTACAGTATATTTAACATTTTTGTCTTTGAAAGCAATTACTTTTTTTCCCTTGGTTGTGTAATTTTAGATTTACTTAGGAGACTCTGTTGTATATTTTAAAAAATGCAAACAATGCACCAGATTAAAGATAAAGCTCATGGAAGCCTTTGAAAAAAATATTTTTAATTTACAAGCTCAAATTGACAACTTTGATAAAAAGCTTGATAAAATTACCAGGGTTTCAAATCAACATCCTAGATGCAAACAATTGCAGCTAAGCCAGACTTAAAACTGAACGAACTGGAATCTAAGTCCTGGAAGATTTGAAGAAGCAGTTTGGCAAGAAAACAGAAAGCCTGTCGCAGAAATCTAAAGGAAATCTGGATTTTACAGGTTTATAATTGGCATATTGGATGAGTCATGAACTGGACTTTCTTAAGAAGATGGATTTATTATGCCAAACTGGAAATTTGGACTGGACTTTTCTGGGAATTGATTTTGGAAAATGGACTTATATCAAATAACAAGTGAAAAAAGATTTCACCATTTCAATAATGGAAGTGATGGAGATATTTACAACAGAGGTTTAGGATATTGGAAGATGAGATGAAATTGTTGAGAAAGCTTCCAATAAAAATCTTAAGGGAAAATTTTGTTATTAAGAGCTAAATGAAAATATTTAGTCCCGGATGGATCAAAGATAATGATTGTGATAATTTCTGGCAGATAAGAAACCATATAGACCAGGGGTCCCCAACCTATGGTCCACTGCCCACTGCCGGGCCATGGCCTTCTGGCCACCGGGCTGTGGAACAGGCTGGCCAGTGCGTTTATGTGTGTGGGCACACTCACCTCCACTTGCGGTAGAGCATGCAGACCTGTTTGCACATGTGTGTGACGCTAGCAGAGGTGACAGCTAGCGCATGTACACATGCACAATGGGACTGCTAGTGCTGTGCAGGTTGCACGGTCTATTTGCACATGCATGCAGTGCTACCAGAGGCGGCAGCTAGTGCATGTGCACATGCACAAATGGGGCTGCCAATGCTGTGGGGTTGCATGGCCCATTTACACATGCATGTGGCGCTAGGAGATGCAGTGGCTAGCACCTGCGCACCTACACAAAAGGGGCTGCTACTGCCATGCAGGTTGCACATGGCCCTTTCATGCATGGCCCTGTTCGCACGCACTCGTGCCTGCTCATGCAAATTTTAAGCTGCTCCCTTTCCCTCCAGGCCACCATGAAAAGATTAGTGACCTCTGATATAGACTTTCTATGAGTTAAATACAAGAACAGATTCTTTTTTTTTTATTGAAAATTTTTGAAATTTTTACAAATAAAGAAAAAGGAAAAAAAAAACAACCCTACCCAACCCACCCTAACCCTCCCACTCCATCCCCCCAACCTTCCCAGACCTGAATATAGGCTTAATTAGAATTTCTACAAATCTTAAAAAAAAAAATTAAAAAGTATAGACCATAGATAAATCAAAATACATTACATAAACAACTTATAAAATAATTAACAATAATATATAAGTAAAAAAAAACATAAATATTAAAAGAAAGAAAAAACTTAAAAGGAAAAAGAATAAAAAAGAAAAGAAAGAAGAAAAGAGATATAAAAAGATAAAATAAAAATGGGAAATATAGGGAAAGAGAAAAAAGAAAAAAAAGATACAATCTATAAAATATTAAAATTTATATATAAGTTATTGAAAAACTAAGTAATATTTTTTATATCCAACTTATGTTGTATAAAATCTATCCATTTTTCCCATACCGCAAAAAACTTCTCTTGCGATTGGTCCTTTAAGAAAGCCGAAATCTTTGCCATTTCCGCGAGATAAGAAACTTTAAAAAACCACTCTTGCAAGGTAGGCAGAGATTCCTTCTTCCAATATTGCCCTACTAACAACCTTGCGGCTGTAATTAAATTTAACATCAGTATAACCTCCTTAGCATCACAATCAGTAACGATACCTAACAAAAACAATTGTGGAGTAAATTTTACCCTCCTTCTAAAAATTCTTTGAATATTCCACCATATCTTAATCCAAAAAGCTTTTATATTTTTACATGACCACCAAATATGATAATAAGTAGCATCCAAACAATCACATCTCCAACATTTAGGCTGTAAGTCAGGATACATACAAGACATTTTTTGTGGATCAAGGTGCCATCTATAAAACATTTTGTAAAAATTCTCCCTTAAGTTCTGGGCTTGTGTAAATTTAACATTCCTCACCCAGATGGTTTCCCAGAAGAACAGATTCTTAAGAATGCTCTGAAGTTTAACTTTGCTATTGATTTACCTGTTAACTATTTTGTCTTATATATAGTAGATAGATGATAGGCAAAGTTCATTATAAATAGACTGAAAGTCTGCTTCACAAAAGGGAGAAATTAACCCTGTTGCAATATACAGTATTTATCAGTAATCCACCAGGGGGACAATATATGTATACAGTATGTGTTTTTGTCTTTTGTCCTTTTTAATGCAGATTTTTTATTAATTTTGATATTTTTATACAGGTTTTTTTTTAATTTGTATTTTAACTTTCTAAATAAAATAAAAATTTTAAAAAAGAAAATAGTTCTAGTTTTAAATGAATTCAAGACTTAAAAATATAGATAGAAATCAAATTATTCCAAGTCATTGGAATAATTTTATGAGAAGAAGTTGCTTAAAGGGCATTCAGAGGATCACCGTAATACATCTTTCAATAGTGAGGAAATTCAGACTAAACAAAATTAAGTTTTCAATTTTGGTAGAATAATTTATATGGATAATATTCTTTCACTCGTCAGATAGATAAAAAGGTTCATTTATGAAACCCTATGAATTTGATAACAATTTTAATTCTGTACTTACCACCGGGTGTTAATAGTTCGGTTTTGCTTGATTTAAGATTCTGTATATTTTGAATATTTTGTACAATTCCCTCTAAACCTACAGCTAATAGCCTTCTTTCTTCAATGAGATCTTGTACCTTTTGCTCTAAAATTGAAATACATTTCATGTCAAAGATGAAGATGAAAATAGGTGGGTTACCTTTTGGAAAGGATTCTAACTAATTATACAAATTTAGGAAAAAATGAGCATTTCAGAATACCCTTGACAATGAGGAAACTAAAAATTATTAGCTATGTTCTTTCTCTTCAGATACACCAGAAGAAAGACAATAAAATATACTAGCTACAATATCTACGATTCATGTAGAAATAGGCTTCTTGGATTATCATGAGGGCAGATATATAAATTTAGAATAAATGTGGTTGTATTTTATAGTGTAATTAACTATTTCTGATTGTTAAGCATTCATCCCGGCATGCTAATATCTGCCAGCTTGATGTCTACACTAGGCTAGCATTCCCCAATCTTTCCAGTTTTGTGGACTGGCAAAAGAGGAAGAGAAGATGGTGCTGCAGGAGTAGTGGCCAAGTGCATGCGCACATTTGTGGTAGCAGCAGCTCCTGGGATCCTGGAGTTATTCCTTCTCTCTCGTTATCTCCAAACTCTGGAGTACCACCCCACCTGAGGTGTTTAGGACACCAATCTTGCCTTCTTTTAGAAAACTCTAACAACTTTTTTTCGAACAACCAGAGGCCATATTGATTTGTGATCATAACTGATAGCGAATAGATTGATATTTAAGTACATTTTCCACCAATGCTCTGTATGGTGGGAAATATCAACACAGAAGCATAAACATACCAGTCCATCCATTCATCCATCCATCCAGGATGTACACTTTATTCTGTTCACTGCCTAAAATTTTGAGTTTGGTAGCTTATAAAACTAAATAAGTAAATTCTTCCTTTAACATATATATTATAATAATTTAATATAAAAATATCAGAAAAACATTTTTCACAGTTTCATAGTTATTGGATACAATGGTGGGATTCAAATATGTGAACAATTGGTTCTCTGTGTGGATGCTGCTTCCGGAAGTCCATTCTGGGGCTGGGCAACAAAAAATTAGGTACCAATTCCGCTGCAGTGGTGCGAACTGGCTGAATCCCATCACTGATTGTATATACTACTAAAGGAATTCTGATAGGGAATTAGGAGTAAAAGTGATTTGGGAGTAGACTTGTTGAAACTTGACATCCACAGCCTGCTTGTTTTCACAGCAAAGTTCTATCTATATTCACCTAGCTAATCTTAAAGTGGCAGTTATTTCCCCTCTTTTTTTCTAATGAATACAAAAAGAAAAGAGCATCTGTGAAACAGGAAAGGACAACAAAGACTCCTTCCTACAAAATTTACTTTTAAAGGCCAAGAGAAAAGTACCAAGAGAAAAACTACAATTCCCCATTTTCCAGATCAAGGACAGACAACAAAGCAGTAGAAATAGCATTAATATTTTTCTCCATTTTAGGATTGATCTGTAAAATTGCTTTTTAAATACAAAGAAATGCATCCAAGTGTGATAATAAATATTTATGTGCACACACACACACACACACACCTTCAAGTCAATCTTGATTCCTGGTGATTGCTGCAGTTTTTTTGGCAACATTTTTCAAAATTGTTTGTTGCTACCTCCTTCTTAAGGCTGAGAAATTATGATTTATTTGTCCACGATCACTCAGCCTAAAATGGGATCAGAATTCCCATTTCTTGGTTTCAAGCCTGATTCCTGACCCACTATACCAAACTTTTTATAGCAAATATAAGGAAGAATTAATTATTGTAGTAATATTTTTATCCTTTTTTAATAATTAAAATAATTTTGAGATTGTTATATTTATTATAATTATAAATTATATTATATAGTTATATAATTATATACTATGATTATATATTATAGTTATAAATAATTACTATAACTTATTCATTATTATATCTTACTTACCATTAATACCTCCTGGCTGAGCAGCTGCAAGAGCCTGTGCTTGCTTCAAGTCTTTCAGATTTGATGCCAATTTGTTTAAAAACAATCCCTTTTGTTCACATAGTTCCTCCAAAAGCTCTTCTGAAAAGAAGAGGAATAATCATTTAAGAATGGAAGATTTAGTCCTTGAAAAATATATTGATTTTAGCTATAGACTTTTTCTATTTCAGAAAAGATGTTTTGTCAAAGAACCTTTCTTTAGAAGCAAGCTTTTTTTTGAGCTTTTGATGATTTATCTACTAGCCAGATAAGATAGGTCTAATTTTTACCCTTCCTTCCTATCATTCTGGTAGCTGTTAATACTTCACTCACACAAACACACATATCAATTTACAAATTTGTCAGATTCAAATTTGATTGGAAAATTTCCATCTGTCTATAAGATATTTCCAGAAAGTATGTTCCTAGTTACAATTTAAAAGATCTCATGTAGATATTTTGACTTTTTAACATATATATAGATATAATTACCATTATATCTAGAACCATATTGCTGACAGTTTTGCAGAAAGAGGATGAGACACAGAGGATATTACATGGATTTCCTATAAAAACACATTAAATTTATTGTATACTTACTTTTAGATTTTTTAACTTTTTCTTTAGTAATATCCTGCATATCTTGTAAATCTTGAATAATTGCTTCAAGACCAGCAACCAAAAGCTTTCTTTCACTTGTGAGATCAACTATTTTTTGTTCTGCAAAAAATATTTTAATAAAAATAGAAACATATTATTACACACAGATTGAAAATACCAGAGAATTAACAGTGCAATATACTGTTTTAACAGTTAACTGTTTTAACTATAATATATACAGTAAATTCATCCTCATGACACAAATTCTTTGTGCAATTTTTTTCACTTTATTATTTGAATTTGTTTATACATTTGACTACATTAAGAATTTTCTTTTTTAACTAGCAACTTTTTGTAATTAAATATACTAGTGAAGTTCACTCCAAATAGAATTAGAAGTTCTTCACAAAAATTGCCAAGTGATCATATAGATCAGACATGTCAAACTTGCGACGTCATGGGACGGTATTGGGAAGGTTTTGCCATTGCCGGCAATGGGGTGGCCGCGGCTTCCAGATGACGCGTCCAGCCCGTGGGCTGGCAGTTTGACACCCATGATATAGATAAATAGATCAATCTTTTATATTATGCTAATTTTAGGAAATCCGATCAGAATGTAATTGTGGACTGGGGGATGCAAATACTGGGATAATAATGAACAATGATAAAGATTTGTCACAAATAGAGTGGGGACCAGGATTTTCCCTGCATTTTGGGAGGCAATTTAGATATATTCAATTTTTCCATATTTTCTACACCAACATACAGAAACCTATAGAATTAATTTTCAGACATCATGATACTAGTAAGTTCCAGAAACTGTAAAAGGCTAATTTATCCAACACATCCAGTCTAATTGTGCAGCCAAAGACTACCCCATCCTATTCTATACCAACCAATTATGCTGCTTGGATGAGTAACTGCAACAGTCTGTGCATCTTGAAGGTTGTTTAAATTTATCTCCAAACATTCCAAAAACATTTGCTTCTTCTGATAAAGTGTTCTCAAATCCTTTTCTAAAAATAAAGATTTAAAAAAGCAGTTTTGAATGTAAATTTTATTGCTGTCATCACAGTCATCTTAAATATTATGCACTGTGAAAAATAATTTATAAAACTCTCTCTCTATATATATACTGTATTTCCTTCCGGTCTTTTTTTTTCCTCCAAAAGAGCTACCAGCACTGACAGCCCCACCCTGCTGGATGAGAGATGAGCTATGGGTGGAGGCGGTGAGAGCAGGGTGCTCTGCGAGGGTTGGGTGGGGGCAATGAGAGAACAGTGCTCTCTGAGGGTTGGGTCGGGGTGGTGAGAGCAGGGCGCTCTACAAGGGTTGGATCGGGGCGTTCTCAGAGCGCCGTTCTCTTGCTGCCCCCACCCAACCCTTGCAGAACACCATTCTCTCGCTGCCCCAACCCAACCCTCACAGAGCGCCGTTCTCTCACTGCCCCGATCCAACCTTCACAGAGCACCCTTCTCCCGCCGCCACGACCCAGTTATTTACCTCTGCTTGGCTTTTTCCATGGCCTCGTGGCAGCGGCATTGGGCAGGAAGTGGCAAACGGGGCCTGCTGAGGATCAAGCCGCATTTGCCACCGCCGGTCTCAGAGCTGGTGATCAGCAGGGCCTAGTCACAGGAGGGCTCAGTGATGCCGGGGTCCAGCCCTATGAAACCTACCTTCTTCTCACCCAAGCTGCCTGGATACATGCCCCCGTTGCACGACCAGTACGGAGGCCAATTGCGGGCTCTGACTGGGTGCGAGCCGGGCAGCCGCACAGGGCAGAGGTGTACCCGGGGCCAAAGCAAAGCCAGGCGGGACTGTGGGTAATGGCATGGGGCCTGGTTATCTGGGGGAATTATATGTCTCTGGCTATGTCTGTCTGTACTATACAATTTGACAAGACTGGCATAGTTTGAGTCCCCTCAATACTTTGAGTCCCCTCAATTTATGGAACCAATTCTTTTTTCACAGTTTCTGCCATAATAGAGTAGCCTAGCACAGTGGTTCTCAGCCTTTTCTTCACCACGGACTCATTTAGAACAGGGCTTTTCAACCAGTGGTACAGGTACCACCTGTGGTACATTGCCACCTGGCAGGTGGTACGCGACCATCCTAGAAAAGTGGTATCGGGGGAAGGGAATGAGCTGAACCAGTGGCAGCACCACACAAGCCTGAGCGAGAGATGGCTGGAGCTGCAGGGCTGTCAGGGCTCAGCAGAAGCACCAGGATCAGTGCCACTTTCTAGCTGATCAATGCTTCTTCAGGACTGCCAGGGCTCAGTGGAAGTGCCAGGATCAGCACCAGGCTCCAGCTGGAGCTCGGCACTGATCCTGGTGCTTCTGCTGAGCCCTGAAGAAGCACAAATCAGCTGGAAAGAAGCACTGATCCTGGCACTTCTGCTGAGCCCAGAAGAAGCGCCGATCAGCTGGAATGTTGCAGCATCTCCAGGGTCTTGTGATTTACATTCAGATGCTTGGCAACTGATTCATATTTATGACAGTCACAGTGTCCCAGGGTCATGTGAAGTGACCAAAACTTGCTGCAACCACCCAGCAGACGGGGAGAATAAAAACCAAATACCCCCCACACCACCCCCACTGCCAATCCTCAACAAAAATGCTCACAACAATGAAAACCTCAGACAGGAGGAAGAGTGCCGCCGGGCGGGCAGGCAGGTGTCTTGCTTGGCTGTGCTTTTGGGGACACTTTTTCAATGCCATTGTAACTTCGAACAGTCACTAAGCGAATTGTTGTAAGTTGACGACTATCTGTACTTTATCATTTTTTTCCTTTTTTTTGGTGATCAAGTTTTTGACACCTTGCTAGGTGACTGGTAGTACTCGGATGTTGCCATATCCTAAAAGTGATACAATGGGTGAATAGGTTGAAAAGCCCTGTCTTAGAATATCTTTTGTGGCCACGGACCTTGGCCACAGACCACCAAGACTTAACTTTGAAATCATAACATTTCTTTAAGACTTCACAGACCCCCGACTATGATGACATTGCAGCCCCCAGGAGTCTGCAGACCACAGGTTGGGAACCATTTCCCTTCCGGTTCTGGTTCACGGCGACTCCGGTCATGTGGAAGAGACTTGTCTCCCCACCGGCTGTGTTTTCTTCGCCGGTAGACCCCGGAGGGAGTTGAAAGTCACCCTGGAGGGGCAACCACCAAGGAGGGGGCTTGCTGGTGACTGCGAGAAAGCGGTAGCTTTTTCCGTGGCCTCAGCTGACTCCTTATGACCGACGGAGTAAAGATCGGCCAGCAAAATGGCCAACCACTCAGCTGCACCAGCCAAAGTCAAAAGAACAGCTAAGTGTGAAGAAACCACCGTGGAGAAATCTGGGTGAGACTTTTCTCTCCCCCACCTATCCCCAACTGTTTTTCCTGCAAAGAGCTTGCTTTTTGGATGACTTCCCTGTTCTAAGAAAGCGGCGTCTGTCTGTTTGGGGGAAAAATACTTTAAACAAAACTACAGAATAGCACTTATTATATTTTGAACTTTTTGAATATTGAGCATCCCTGGAAAGATTTGTAATATAGAGCATTGTTCTACTTATTATACTGAAGATATTTGCTTTTTTATGTCTCTTTCTTCGTCATTCTTAATGAGATAAAGGCTTTTAACCTGCAAAGAAAAAAGCTTTCTATAGCTCTCTGAGGACATCTTGTGGCGAAAATATTTACTGCAATTGTAATGTCTTTGCTTTGGTGTTTGAAGAGGGTTTTGACCTTCAGAAATTAACAAGAAGAAAAGATAAAGGCTTGGAAACAGCTGTGGGTTGTGTTTGTGATTTAAAAATTGTGGAGGCGGATGTATATGGACTCTTAATAAATAAAGTTTCCACAAAAAGATTAAAAGACTCTTTTACTATGGAAATAGAAGACTTTTACCCACAGCTTGACTATGAGCTGATACTGGAAAAAATATTGGAAATGACAGAGATGAAGTTATGGAGAAAAACTAAAGATTATCTTGCAGAATTACAAGCTGAGCCTCAAACTTTAAAAGATCAACCTATAGGCCAAGAAGAAGCCTGTATGCAACAGTGTACACAATCTGAGATGGAAGAAGAATTTACTGATCAATTGAATTCTGGACTGGATTATGAGCTGATATTGGAAAAAATATTGGAAATGACAGAGGAGATGAATTCATGGAGAAACACTAAAGACCATCTTGTAGAATCACAAGCTGAGCCCCAAATTTTAAAAGACCAATCTACAGGCCAAGAAGAAGTTTATATGCAACAGTGTACCCAATTTGAGATGGAAGAACTTACTGATCAATTGAACTTTAAAAAAATTCTGGACCCAAAATCCCAGATTGAGACTTTAAATGTCTACTCTATAAATCAACTAACTACTACACAGAAGGATATTTCACAAGTCTATGTACAAACGGTGGAGAACTTTGAAGATCAAAAAATGATTATAAGTGAAATACTCCCATTGCTAAAATCAACAGGAATTGACAGCCAGACGCGATCGATTGAAAGTTATGACAACTTGGATAATCAAGCTGAAATTATAATATGGAATAAAATGGACTATATTGCTTATATGATATTGGAAGAAGGGGAATAGAATTTTGATCAGATCGATTTGTTGATAAACATTAGTACTCAAATACTGAGCTTGGATGACATAGATGTGACATTACGGAAACCAGCTTGGTATAGAAAAAAAGCCAGAGTTAGATTTAAAAATGTGATTTAAAATTTTAATTATTGGGTCAAAAAGGCTTTAGAGATTTGGACTGATTTGACAAACTAATTGAGTAAATGAAAGCAATAAGATAATAATTGGTGTAATAATATGTTTGTCTTAGATACGATAATTAATTTGGTTGAGATTTAAATTTTACTTAACAGGTTGAAATGATTCTTTTTTGTTTTTTTACTCTGTTTATATAGAAAACTATTTTGTAATAGCAGAATAATTAGAGAGATCTATGATAACAGAAGAAAGGGTATTAATTAATGATGTATTAAATTAAGAGGTGGAATATATGTGAAAATATTAGAATGTTATTCTTGGAATATTATGTGCGTTGTAGAAGAGATACCCAAAGTTTTATTAATATGTTTGTTTAAGATTAATTGGAATATGTTAATTGAAATTAGTGGAGAAATCATAACATTTCTTTAAGCCTTCACAGACCCCCGCCTATGGTGACATTGCAGCCCCCAGGAGTCTGCAGACCACAGGTTGGGAACCATTTCCCTAATCCATCTCAGCCAGCCTCTAAGAAGCTCTAAAGATTTTATTTTTTCACCAGGAGCAGAGCCATAAAGTTAGATGAGCCAGTTATATTTGTAAGTAACTAGAGCCATTTACAATGCCTGTTCAGTTACCCATACTTTAGTCATCTCTAGTCTTGGCTACTGAAATGTGCTCAAAATGGCGCTGTCCTTGAAGCTTCAGTTGGTTCAAAAGAGGAGACCCATACAATTTTGTATCACCTTTGTGGTCGTGTCTCATCATCGGTGTGGGTTTGGGTTTGCTTTTTTGCGTGGATGTGTGATGGTGACATCCTGTGTGGTTTTCGGGAGTGTGGGTTTTATTGACAAACGAGTCCCTAACATAAAGAATGACATCAGGCCCACCCTCATGAAAACCACATAGGATGTCATCACCACACATCCATGCAAAAAGCAAACCCAAACCTACACCGATGATGAGGCACGACCACAAACCAGAAGCCAGACCACAGCTGCATCATTAGCCACTTTAAACCCCTCCAATCTATACATGAAGCAACCTGATACCCACCATGAAGATGAGGCACGACCATGAACGCGAAGCCAAACAACAGCAGTGCAGCTCATCATCTCAAATTCCCCTACAACTCAGACTAACCTGAGCACAACAAAGCCCCCACCCAAACAGAACACTCCCCCATCCAATCAGAGCACAGCCAACCCCCCCATCCAATCAGAGCACAGCCAAGCCCCTAACCAATCAGAACACACCTCCACCCAATCAGAACATAGCCAAGCTCCCACCCAATCAGTTCATACCCCCACTGGCAGTTAAAAGGAAGAAACAGCTACGATCACACATTGCTCCTAGAAGCACGAAGCCAAAAACACCAGCCTGAAGATGACGAATGAGACTTCATCGAAACGTCGCCAGGACACTTCCAATTTGACACGGGAGAAAACCCGAATAACCAAAGATCTACATACACACACACACACACACACACACACACTACATACATACATACATACACATCAAGATGCAAATACAAAAGGAATGAAGCTTATGTCATAAGTTGTGTCATCTGTCCCAAAGGATGCCCATGGATTTAAGGGTATATCTTTTCTCACTCACCAATGTATTTGATAATTCTTCCTGTTTCCGAAATGTAATTTTTCATATCATTTATATCTTCCACAACTGCTTCCAGGTTTTCAGTTAAAACATTTCTTTGCTCATTTAATTCCTCTATCTTTTTTTCTAGATAAAAAATGTAAAGCATTTGATAAAAATATACTTGCAAGAGATTTTAAGACAATCTTTAATATTATACAATCTTAACAAACATTAATATAAATTTCAAACATTCAAAGGAAGATATCTTTATGAAGTGACTGCATTAATCATTTTATAGAATTGGACCCAGATGAACTTTTATGCCCACCTATACGGATATAAGCAGTACTGAACCCAATGGGTTTTTTAAAACAGGTATGTATAGGACAGTGATTTCAATTGATCTACCTCTAATAATGAATGTTACAATATAGAGGCTGCAGGTCATGTTGTCTTTCCTGTTTATGTTTTCCATTGTTTCTTCTGGCTGTCTTTTTAAGCACAAAAATCTATTAAGATTGAACCAGGTTGTCTTTGATGTATAGGGTTAAGAGCAGCCAATCTTAAAATTTCTGATGAATTCTGATAAATTACTACATTTAACTTAGCTTTGTGTTTTTCTTACTTTGATATAACAAATGAGCAGAAGCATAATTATTTTCAGTGATTCAGACATATAATTGTGTCTATCTAGTAGCAGGCTCTGCAAAATGCATGCTTTCAGGATTAAAAATCCAGGCGTTAATACCATGGTCAAGGGCTAAAAATAAATAATGGCTCAAAAGATCTTGCAGAGATAATCCTCATAAAAAGGGCTGCAGACGATGCAGTAGAATAGAACCATAATTCTAACAATTACAAAAACATGCTACATCACAGCAGAAACTGAAAATAGGTGTGTTTCAGCTGGGAAAAAGTTGTAAGAAACCATACAGACTTTTCATGATATAGCATAAGAAACAAGGAGGTATGTAGCTCTCTGGAATGCTGTTTCTTTAAAAAAAATACCAACAAACTTGGGAATTCAGAATATACAGAACATTCTTCAGACCTAATTAACAATCAAGACTAATTAGGGAGCAAATCAACTGGTGTTCTAGGTGAAATATGACATTTTAGTCAATTGACCTTTTATGAGGGCTAAGAAAAAGCAAATATATACCCTCAACAGGCAAAGCTTACAAGATTTCACCTGAATCATTTTAATGAATGAGAAACAGTTTTATGGAAGGCTAAAGAATTACTAATGGTGTGGAAATTTCAAAAGGAGGAAGATTCCTTGGCTCTGATTCACCATTTCTTTTACCAATCCTATAATTGCTAATGAGTTCACTTCCCTACCCCCCCAAACAAAAGCTCCTATTTCAACGATCCATTCAAATAGTCTAGAACAGGGGTGTCAAACTCGCAATGTCATGTGACCTGTCGTGACATACTGTTACTTTTTTGCCATTGCCAGCAATGGGGTGGGTGTGGTTTCACTATGATGCATCTGGCCCACAGGCAGGAGTTTGACACCCCTGGTCTAGAATATTGCCAACACCTTTTCTTAGCCAGCAACATGAACTGTGGAGTAGTATTGGCATATGAATACTACTTCAACATAATGCTCTCTTAAGCTAGATAGCTCTGAAGTACTATCAACCCTGTTATTAAATATTTTGATGGGAATGTCTACATACAGAGGTATACAATGCAGAGAACTTTTCAAATTTTTGCTGTTCCAAGCTGCCATTTGCCAAAGGTAACAAAAAGGACTCCTTTCTATTAGTTCTAGGATTTGCTAAACCATTTCGAGTAATTTTATCTTTCAGTGCAAGGAACAACAAAAATTAGAAGAGTTCTTTCCCTTTTTAAATTGGTGCAAGGTTTCTTAAGGTTTTATCCTAATATTTGATGAAGTGAGAATTAAATGTTTCTTCTCTTCATCCCATTTCTATTGATTGAGAGGGCTTCATTAATCTATATTTTAATGAATTAATTATAAAAAAGTGAATTAATTATATTCATTTATAATTCAGTAATAAATGTTCTGTGATCTAAGATGATGAAAATAATTATAACTGCAGATAATTCATGTATAGATTAACTGAAAAATGAAACACAAGGAAAGTTTTAACTAAGTTTTAATTATATTAAACTGAACTGATAACAACCTAAGGAATTTAAAAAGAAATATTCAACAAGATATTAAATAGAATGCAATTTGACATTTTCTCTGCATAGAGAACAAGAGAACAGTACATGATAATTTGAAGAAGTTAACTACAGCAATTTTGTTCAGTTTACAGATTGCCAAATAATATCAACGGAACCAAACAGAATTCAAGAATGACCTCATATTTTAATTATAAATAAAACAAGAATTATCATATACATATATACCAGTGGTATTATCTGGTTCCATAGTCTGGGCTTCTTCTTGTAGTTCCAGATTTGATTCCAAATGTTCCAATAAAAGCTTCTTCCATGCATGTAATTTATGCAATTTTATTTCTACAAACAATAATGCTTTACAATTATTTTTGGAAAATTGTTTCATATATTTATATTCAAAATTTGCAATTAAAAACTTTATTTCTCACATATTTTATTATGCCTATTTACCAGTATCTGGTCAAATCAAGGCTGATTAAAGGAAACAAAAAAACGAAGTAAAACAATTTCAAAATGCCTTTCTCTGTAACATCTATAAATATTCTCAATCATCCAGGTTATGATTGTCCCAAAGATGCTTCCTCTGAACCACCAATCTTCACAGCAAAAACATAAAAAAAATCCATGCAAATAGAAACAAAAGATTAAAAAACAAACCTCTAAAGTAAATTTTCATTGCATCCAAATGTTTTTTGTAATAATAAAACCTTTTTCAAAATCTTCCAAAAATTCCATAACGAGGAAGTCAACCAAAACTTAGTAGGTAAGCTGTTTCACAATGTTGAATGTCAAAGTACATATACAATACATTAAATTCTTGTATGTTGGGACTCAAAGCATCCTCTTCACAGAGGATCTTACACTATGGGCAAGTGGTGGCGAACCTATGGCACACATGCCAGAGGTGGCACCCAGAGCCCTATTTGTGGGCACGCATGCCCCCTCACCAGCAGCCCCCCTGGAGAATTGCCTCCAAATATGGTCCACACGGAGTAGCACAGACAAGGATATGGCAACCAGGCAGCAGGGACATTGCGCATAGATGCTGCAGGGAGCAGGTGGAGGGTGTGGCAGCCATGGTGCTGCAGGGCCGCCTGGGCGAACTGCTGTGGCGGGTCATGGAGGTGGTGGATGGCCCTGCGGGTGGGGCAGGGACAGGCAGCGGGGTGGTTTTGGGGCACTCAGTCTCTAAAAGGTTCACCATTACTGCAATAGGCTGAATTTACCCCAGAGAAATAGCATTAAAGGTAAGTAAAACTGAACCATATAGAGATTTATAAGGACCTGAGTCAGGAAAGTTATTGGTAAACAAAGGAGTGAATTCGGCCCACAAGTTATACTACTGAAGTGGTCTGCTTCTATCAGCAGCTGGGTCATCAAATTCTAGACCAAATGAAGCTTGGATCCTCTTCAAAAGTATCCCCACATAGATGGTATTATAGTACTCCAATCATGTGGTAATAAGAGCATGAATCTCTGCAATTAGGGTTTTTCAATCTCACAGAGCTCCAAGTGGCATACCAACCAAAGCTGGGTCAAAGCTCTCCAAGCAGATGCCTCCATCTGCTGCTCAAGGAGTCCAGGAGATCCACCCTTCCAACTAATCATAGATATCTTATCTGAGAGGAAATATGACCCAATTCCAAATGAATGTTAAAAAAACAGGTAAAAGTCAGCTATCTCTATTGGGAAAGAGAATAAGATCAAATTTATTTTGAATTTAGATACAAAAGGTGCAGATTGGAATATTTTATTCACTTGAAAGACTAATCTTACATTAATCCTGGGAAGTTTCAAGCAATGTTCATAAACTTTGGCTTCTATAACAATTTTATTTGCAACAGATACACAAATCAATTCTCTGCAACTACAGGAGGTATTTTGTGATATATCAAACCCTGATGAGAAAAGTGAAAGGCATCGCCCTACGAGTTTAAGAAATATTTTGAATAGAATAGAGCTGGAAAACACCTTGGAGGTCTTCTAGTCCAGCCCCCTGCTCAAGCAGGAGGACCTATACCATCTCAGACAAGTGATTGTCTAGCCTCTTTTTAAAAATCTCCAGTGATGGAGCACCCACGATTTCTGAAGGCAAGCTGTTCCACTAGATAATTGTCCTCACTATTAGGAACTTTCTCATTAATTCCAGGTTGTTTCTCTTTGATCAGTTTCCAATCATCCTGCACTCTGGTGCTTTGGTGAATAACATGATCCCCTCTTCTTGGTGGCAGCCCCTCAAATACTGGAACACTGCCATCATGTCTCCCCTATTTCTTCTTTTCTTTAGACTACCCAAACCCAAGTCCTGCAGCCGTTCTTCATATATTTTAGTCTCCAGGCCTTTGATCATCTTAGTTGCTCTTCTCTATTTTTTTTTTGAAACTCTCAACATCTTTTTTGTGATATGGTGACCCAAATTGACTGCAGTATTCCAGGTGTGGTCTTACTAGGTTTTATAAAGCGGTACTTTATAAAGTGATCTTGATTCTATGCCTCTGTTTATACAATCCAGGATTGCCTTAGCTTTTTTGGCTGCTACTGCACACTGCTGGCTCATGGTTAAGTGATCGTCCACTAGGACAGGGCTTTTCAACCAGTGGTACGGTACCACCTGTGGTACATTGCCACCTGGCAGGTGGTACGCGACCATCCTAGAAAAGTGGTAGCGGGGGAGGGGAATGAGCTGAACTGGTGGCAGCACCGCACAAGCCTGAGCGAGAGATGGCTGGAGCTGCAGGGCTGTCAGGGCTCAGCAGAAGCGCCAGGATCAGTGCCACTTTGCAGCTTCTTTGGGACTTTCAGGGCTCAGTGAAAGCGCCAGGATCAGCACCAGGCTCCAGCTGGAGCTCGGCACTGATCCTGGTGCTTCTGCTGAGCCCTGAAGAAGCACAAATCAGCTGGAAAGAAGCACTGATCCTGGCGCTTCTGCTGAGCCCAGAAGAAGCGCCGATCAGCTGGAATGTTGCAGCATCTCCAGGGTCTTGTGATTTACATTCAGATGCTTGGCAACTGATTCATATTTATGACAGTCACAGTGTCCCAGGGTCATGTGAAATGACCAAAACCTGCTGCAACCACCCAGCAGACGGGGGGAATAAAAACCAAACACCCCCCACACCACCCCCGCTGCCAATCCTCAACAAAAGTGCTCACAACAATGAAAACCTCAGACAGGAGGAAGAGTGCCGCCGGCGGGCAGGCAGGTTTCTTGCTCGGCTGTGCTTTGGGGGACACTTTTTTCAATGCCATTGTAACTTGGAACAGTCACTAAGTGAACTGTTGTAAGTCAAGGACTACCTGTACTTTATCACTTTTTTTCTTTTTTTTTTTTTGGTGATCAAGTTTTTGACACCTTGCTAGGTGACTGGTAGTACTCGGATGTTGCCATATCCTAAAAGTGATACAATGGGTGAAAAGGTTGAAAAGCCCTGCAATAGGACTCCAAGGTCCCTCTCACAGTTACTGTTTTTAAGCCAGGTCTCACCCAATCTGTACTTGTACCTTTGATTTTTTTTCCTGCCTAAATGTAAAACTTTGCTTTTCTCCATACTGAAATTCATTTTGTTGGATAGGGCCCATTGTTTAAGTTTGTCAAGATCTTTTGGAATCCTGAGTTTGTCTTCTGCAGTGTTGGCTACTCCTGCCAGTTTGGTGTCATCTGCAAATTTGATGAGTTCCCCTTCAATTCCCTCATCTAAGTCATTGATGAAGATATTGAAGAGTACTGGGCCTAGGACAGAACCTTGCGGTACCGGTTACTTCTCTCTATATGGATGTAGTGCCATTGAGGACTACTCGTTGAGTACAATTTTCCAGCCAACTGCAGATCCATCTAGTGAGGTGGGCTTAAAATTCTTGTAATTCTAGCCATTTCATTTCAATACATCTTGTTTAGAGCAGGGCTTTTCAACCTTTTCACAGATTGTACCACTTTTAGAACATGACAATATGAAAGTACCACCAGTGCTTAGCAAGGTGTTAAAAACTTGATGACTGAAAAAAAAGGGGTGAGATTTTGGGTTTTACTGATTAGATCATTTGTTGTTATAGAAATGTCTAGTTTTTATACTATCATGGAAAAGTTGAGATTTGATGTTAAGGCTTCATTGTATTGCAACAGAGGAAGTTGGAAGTCAATGCCTTTTCTTTTCCCCTTCTCCCCCTCACTTTTCCCTTTTTCTCTCACACTTTGCTTGCAAAAACTGGGGTATTTCCAATTAAGTTGCCTCTCCTTCCTCTCTCCCTCCTTCCCTGACCTCTTCTTTCCTTCCTTCCTTCCTTCCTCCCTCCCTCCCTCCCTCCCTCCTTCCCTCCCTCCCCTGTTTTTTTTTAACTGCCAGAGGCTCCGGGCAAAGGTGGCAACAGGCAGGAAGCAGTGGATAGAGGCTTCACATTTTGACCCCTGTTGTTTCTTCTGCATGGCTCTCAGCTCACCTCTCCCAGACCTGCGCACGTGTTTTTTTGTGTGTGTGCGCATGTGCACGGCACAGGCGGGCAGGCTAATGGGCGGATGGGCGGGAAGGTCTCACCCCTTGCAGCTCTGCGCCCTCAACAGAGACCTTCTGCAATGGCAGGCTGCAAACCAATGAAAGCTATTTTTTTAGAGTAATTGTTTCTTTTTCTCAACATGCTGCCAATCACATCACACCCTGCGCCCTTCAGCTCCTGTCCCCAGCCCCATGGAAGGCTGCAAGAAGCTCCCATCGCAGCTTCTCTTATCTCTACCATTCTTTTCCTCCCCAACGTCACAGCTTGGGGCTGCAAGGAGTGAGACCCTTCCATGCACGCATGCACACAAACATACATAAACAAACACACACACAAACATGTGCAAGGGTCTGGGAGTGGTAAGCTGAGAGCCATGCAGAGACCCTTCACGCACAGAAGCAAGGACGGGGGGGAAGGGTCAAAATGGGAAGCCTCCTGCCAAGAACCTCAGGCAGTTTAAAAAAATAAAGATGCAAAACACTCACAATGCGGCCCCCAGGGATGCTGTGCCCCGCACACTCGCTACCTCCTCTGCGCACACCCAGGGGATGGGGCAGGAACAGGGCTGAGGCAGCAAAGCAACCCATCGCTGGTTCCAGGGCTGCCCTGTGGATCTAAGGCTGGGCGCGTTCTAATTTTGATGATAGCTATGAGGTTGTAAATCGGCAGCCAGTCGGCCTGGGCTGGCTTCTCTTCTTTCTGAGAGATCAGCAGGGATGGTGGGCGTTCGCTGCCTCCTCCTATGTGCGCACCCAGCAGCCCCTCACTGGCCCTTTCCCTCCTCTTTTTATATCCTTTCCTCTCTCATCCCCTTTTCCGTGCACTTCCAGCTATGCGCTGCTTTCAAAAGTGCCAATCACTGGAGCCAGGCGCTGGGCCCTGACAGCTCTGCAGAAGCACCAATCAGCTTGTAGCCATGCATGCTGATCCTGGGGCTTTTGCCAAGCTCTGAAAGCCCTGCAGCTCCAGCTGTCTCTCCCTTGGGCTTCTGTGATGCTGCCGTCGCTTCAGCTCATTCCTCTCCCCTCTGCTACCACTTCTCTAGAATGGTCATGTACCACCAGCCAGGTGCCACTGGTTGAAAAGTTCTGGTTTAGAGGAGTCTACATTATTTGTGTTAGAGAAAAAATTACATTTGCTTAAATTGACTAAAACGTATATTACCAAGAATTGTACTGGCTCCTGAAAAGTAGAATGCCAAGTGACCTTGCAAGATGTAGTTATCTTATTAGGCTCTATCAACAATATAAGCAATTTTATCTGCAAAATATTTTGCAATCACTGCAAAGGAGGATCTTTCTGCCTACTCCTCTTTAAAAGGGAGCAGGCCTGTTAGATGAGAATCTGAAGACCAAATTAGAGTGGTGTATAGAACTGTAGTGACTATATGCCACATATTTATTCCATGCTGCTGCCACTGAAAAAATGTGCAGGTGCCAATATATAGGTTTATTTTCCACTTACCCTCAGATCGTCTCATTAAGGTTTCTTCTGAAGCACGATTTTCTATTTTTTCTATATCATGTACAGTTGCCTCTAGTTCTACAGTTAAATATCTTCTTTGATCATGTAGTTCTTGTAGTTTATATGCTAAAAATAATTTCAGACCAAATTAAAACAATATATATTCTGCAATAACTACCTTAAGAATAACTGCATACAATATTATCTAGCTATTTTATTCTAGATGCATTTATATAATACTTTCTGAATCCATATCTGATTTGTACATTTCTAAGTAATCTGTACCACAGCCATAAATAGTAATTCAATAATTTATTCCACATCTGTGAAAGCCTCTTCAATTAAATTTTAATATTCAAATTTTGTAAATGTATATTACCAACAGAATGCATATTCTGATAAACAGAGATATGGTTTCAAACCTCCAGCTTCCAAAATGGTTAACACCATCTCTTGAGCTCTCAAAAAAATGAGCAGTAATCTTTGTAGGCATCCATATAAAAGATATTATCAGAAAAGATGTGAGATCTGTTTCCTTACTGTTCAGTTGTTTTTGGATAAGAAGCAAATAATCTTGCTGCTATCTTATTAAAATTATCTTAAAATTATTTTTGTTTGTTCTTAATATTTTTATACTGCAATTAATAAGGAATTTCCTGCATTTTTGAGAAATCAAGTACTGATTTTATTATTCTGCAATATTTGGAATTATAAGGGTTGCAATCTTATGGAGATTATGTAATCTAACATTGTGCCCAGTTTAGAAGTCCACTATGACAGTATCCCTCACAGATGACTAAGGCAGTATGTTCCACTATAGATAGCTTTATCAGATTTTTTTTTATAATGTCCAAATGAAGTCTACTTCCTTGCGATTTCAACCCATTATTTCTTGTGCTATCTTCTAAAAACCTCTGAACAACTTTGTTCCACTTTTTTTTGAATAATATTTTGGCTACTTGAAGATAGCTATTATTTCTTTCTGTATTCTGATCTTTCCCAACTAAAAAGATTCAACATAACTAAATATTTCTAATCATTTTTTCCTTCCAATTCCCTTTTCATCTTGGTTGCTAGATTGATTTACATGTATTAGGAAATATACGCAATAAACTAATCTCAAAATTAATTATAGAAGATTTGGGTAATTTTTTCCATATTCAAGATGTTTAATCAAAGCAGTGACTGACTGAGCATTGCCACAAAGGATAAGACATGGCAACTTTTGTATGCACTAAATCTAAAATAATTGCTGATTTTATAATACAGTCTTACCACATACATAAAATTTGAATGATCAAAAATGCGAGGAGATGAGCCATGAAATAAATGCTAATTCTACACTTTTCTGATTTCCAACAAGAGTTAAATATGGACTAGAAATAAAAGCTAATAATATCTTATTTTTGAAATAATAACTATTGCAACTAAATTCTGTTAATTCAGTTTGCACTCACTGAATATTTTACTCTAATATAAATTGTCTTACTTCAGAAAACATCAAAACTGTGTTTCAAGTCTGTGTGCCTAGATTTCCATTAAACATTATACATTTGTTCACCACCAGTTTTTATTTACATATCTGGGGCACTCTGATAACTTATATAAAAATATCAAAGCTAAACTTATTTCTCTAAAAATAGCAAAATTTGGCTATATTATTTGTAAGCATCGCCCACAAATGGTTGCTAACAGTTCTTGTTAGAGGATAGTTTTGTGCTGTTCATTTTATTGATTCTATCTAGTCCAGTGGTTCCCAATCTTTTTAATGCCGCAACCCCAACCAGTCGTAAGTCGAGGACTACTCAACCAGTCGTAAGTCGAGGACTACTCAACTGGTGCAGCACCGTTTGCAGAATGGGACTTTTGGCAGGCTCAGCAGGGCAGAAACAGCCTGGACAATTCCTATTGGTTTTTGAAAGCCAATAGAATTAGACTCTATTCAAGAGAGTCTATTCTATTGGCTTTCAAAAGCCAATAGAATAAAAGGGAGTAGCACAACTAAGGAAAAGGGGGAAAAATGGCGGACTGCGTTGTTTGGCGACCCCCGTGAAATGGTCGTTCGACCCCAAATGGGGTCCCGACCCACAGGTTGAGAACCACTGATCTAGTCAATGACAGAAAAAAATAGAGTTCTAAAGTTTTGATAATGTATAATGTAATCTTGCATTTTGTCGCATAGTCACCAGATTGGATTTGGCATTTTTATCCAGATATCAAGTGCCTTCCTGGGATAGGCAGAAGTTGATGTCGGATGTTAGAGCTAAGAGCTGTTAGCTGTTCTGAGTAAAACTGTTTTTTGAAATTTTATTATTATTACTTTTAAAGGCTTTATGCTGCTTTAATCTTCTTGACTTTAAGCAGTTAACAGCAAAAAGACACAATGCAATACATCTGACAAACAATTTTTATTTATAAACAATGAAAGTGTGGAAAACATTATATACATACCACTGACAGTACCTGGTTGACTAATTTCAAGTGTTTCAGCTTCTTGTAATTCTTTCTCCTTAAATTCCAGTTTTTCTAACAAGTGTTGTTTCTTCTCAGATAGTGCATGTAATTCTTCTTCTGAAAAAAACATGTTTTTATAATAACCAACTGAAAAATAGTTTAAAATGTCCCACTGCTCATGGTATTGTATCACAATAAAACAAACAATTTTGATTTTTATTTTAAGGAAATAATATTAAAAAAACCCAAAGCAAACCATAGAATGTGAAATGTATCATTACCCACCAAGATTCATAATAGATTACATATTACTTTGTCAATGTATGTCCTATAGAAAGCAAATAATAATACAATTGTTCAAAAAGAGAATACCGAAAAAGACTATATGTATATATAACAACAACAACAACAACAATAATAATAATATAATAAAGTTGGAAGGGATCTTGGAGGTCATCAAGTCCAACCCCCTGTTCAGGCAGGAAACCCTATACCATTTTGGCCAAATGGCTGTCCAGTTTCTTCTTAAAAACTTCCAGTATTGGAGCATTTACCGCTTCTGGAGGCAGGTTGTTCCACTGATTAATTGTTTTAACTGTCAGGAAGTTTCTCCTTAGTTCTAGGTTGCTGCTCTCCTTGATTAGTTTCCATCCGTTGCTTCTTGTCCTGCCTTCAGGTGCTTTGGAAAATAGCTTGCTTCCATCTTCTTTGTGGCAGCCCCTGAGATATTGGAACACTGCTATCATGTCCCCCCTCATCCTTCTCTTCATTAAACTAGACATACCCAATTCCAGGAACCGTTCCTTATATGTTTTAGCCTCCAGTCCCCTAATCATCTTTGTTGCTCTGTACTCTTTCTAGAGTCTCAGCATCTTTTTTACTGGATGCAGTATTCCAAGTGTGGCCTTACCAAGACATTGTAAAGTGGTATTAATACTTCACGTGATCTTGATTCTATCCCTGTTAATGCAGCCTAGCACTGTGTTGGCTTTTTTGGTAGCTGCAGCACACTGCTGGCTCATATTTAAATGATTGTCCATTGGGACTCCGAGATCCCTCTCACAGTTACTACTATTGAGCAAGGTACCCCCTATACTATACCTGTACATTTGGTTTTTCTTGCCTAAATGTAGAACTTTACTTTTTTTCACCATTGAATTTCATTTTGTTAGATAGTGCCCAGTGTTCAAGTCTGTCCAGATCCTCCTATATCCTAAGCCTGTCTTCTGGAGTGTTGGCTATTCTTGCCACTTGGTGTCGTCTGCAAATTTAATGAGTTCCCCATTTATCCCCTCGTCCAAATCGTTGATAAAGATGTTGAAGAGCACTGGGCCCAGAACAGAGCCCTGGGGCACCCCACTACATACTTCCCTCCATGTAGATGTGGTTCCATTGAGGACCATACATTGAGTACAGCCGGTCAGCCAGTTTTGGATCCATCTGTTGGTGATGCTAACCCACATTTTTCTACCTTATCAAGTAGTAGGTTGTGATCTACTTTGTCAAATGCCTTACTGAAGTCCAAATAAATTATATCCACAGCATTCCTCTGGTCCACTAATTTTGTCACTTGGTCAAAGAATGCAATAAGAATGCAATGTCTTTATAAGTATACAAATATATACATATATATCTTTGAGAGCTGTAAATCATTTGGTTACCAGAATTAGAGCTCTCAAAGATAGAACCTGCTTTATTAAAATTCTAGCCTACTCACAGTTTTGACATTGTTTTATTTAGAATCATGCCGTTTTCATCGCCATCATTGTTCTAATGTCACCAGTATCAGATAAAACTGTGAAGCAGATTTGACAGTGAAGAGTATGCATGAAAAAAAAATGGAACAGATGGAATTTCCCCTCAGGTGCAGCCACAATTGCCAAATAACAGTGCCACTGTCACTGCACTCTTAGACTAACTATACTTTGTTTATTCAAATTTTATGGAACATCCAGTTGGCCAGATTTAAAACACAGCAGTTTTTTTCCAAATTCCCCTTTTTTCAGTTCTGATCTGTAGTTACATGTTTGCAATAAATGTAGTTGATCTTTCAAATGGAATAGATCCTTCATAAAGCATTTTTTCCGGTTTCTGAATATTTAAATCAAACATGCTTACTTTTGTAGACAAATTCATGAGTAGTTTTCCTAGAATAGTCTCTGTATGATTGGTCTTACCTTTTTTCTCCTCATGGGCTATATTTTTCAGTGTTCTACCATGGTCATCATAGTGAATATTACTACTGACTTAAAGAGGGCTATAAAGCACTATGAAGCAGTATATAAGTAAGTGCTATTGCTATTGCATATAAACCTATCATTACTGGCATATATTAAAGCAGCACTAATGGGATAAAGAAAAGCAAAAAAGAACATATGATAAATATATTCTCAATGGGCAGTCACGTGTAGAGTAACTTTTTCTTTGGGAGAAATTATTAGAAGATGATTTTTAATGTAGAATTTCACACCTGAAGTTGTGAAAGTCATCATTTTCAGAAGATGACTAAATAATGAGGTGATTAGATTTCAAGGTCAGTTTTAACAGATAATAAATTCTGAAATTAATATAGATTTGAAGGTCTCTTTAGATGTCATAAACTCTTGAAAATCCATTACAAATGATGCCTCTTTGCAATAGGAGGAAACAATAAGATAATAACAATAGCAACATCACTGCTATCATTATCAATATTATTTCATTTGATTATGTATGCAGTTTGCAAAGGAAACAAAAATTATTAAGTGTGCTTGGAAAGATATTTAATAGGAATCTAATTGAAATAGTATGAGAGTAATATGTGCAAAATTTGATTACAATATGAGTTTCTGCTGGATATAAGATATACCAACCAGATTCTTGTTCTACTAAGAAATGGATGAATGTGAGAAAGTTAGTATATTGTACATTTATTGATTTAAGGAAGTATCTGATAAAGTGAAGAATGATAGAATCTTTGTACAAGTTTGTAATAGAATGCAGTAAGAGTGGTATAATTTGAAAGAAAAGCTTTTTAATGTATTTACTTACTCATTTATATCCCTTCTTTATTGTTTTTATAAATAAATCAAGATAGTGAACATACTGAATAATCTTCTCCTATTTTCCCCACAACAATAATCCTGTGAGGTAAATTGGTTTGAACAGGGCTTTTTTTCTCATAGAACGCCCAGAACGGAGTTCTGCTCCTTTTTTGGATGGAACCTTGTAGGGTAAGCAAGGCGAATTGTATGATGTGTGTGAGTTTCGGCACCTTTTTTTTTTAGAAAAAAAGCACTGGGTTTGAGAAGAGATTGACTCTGTTATGTCCCCAGCCTTGCAAACGGCTTGGGGCGTTTGCAGGCGGTCCCGGGCAGGTGCAAAGCTGCCCGGGACCAGACAGGCTGTCGCCAGTGCCGTGCGCATGCGCGGGTGCTGGCGCGGGAAAAGTATCGCATTGACCCGGGAAATGTCTATATAAGAAGCTGGAAGGTTTTGGGAGCTGCTGAAGCCATCTACTTGTGAGCTGAACACAGAATAAAGAAAACTGAGAACTACAACTGCTTCTCGTGTCTGCTTTCCGCCAAGGACTCAACACTAGCGACGAAGGTGGGATGCCTTACATCGCCTGGAAAGGAAGAGGTGTAAGCTTACCCAAGTGAGTCCTGAGCGGCGGAACGGCGTTGACTCGGCAGCTATTCGCCAATCCAGTGCGCATTCGGGGGTAGGCTGGCTGATAGACCCATCTCCTGAAGATGGCAAAGGTTGGAAGGCTTTCGGAGTTCGACGTCTCACATCCAGAGCGGTGGAAGTCCTACGTAGCCAGGGTGGAGAACTACTTCAAGGCAAACCAAGTGAGGGAAGAGAGCTTGAAGGCTGCCACCCTGCTTTGTGTTTGCGGTCAAGACGCCTTCGAAATCGCAGAAAACCTTGCAGCACATGTTCCAGTAGAGTCTGTTAGCTACGCAGATCTAAAGAAGCTACTGAAGGAGCACTTCCAGCCTAAGATGTCCGTCATCGCATGGCACCACACCTTCGAGCAGAGGGATCAACGATCCGGAGAGTCGGCCAAAGAATACATCGCCGCATTGAGGAAGGCCGCCAAGCACTGCGAGTTCAAGGACCTCGAAGAACGATTGAGGGACCGATTCGTGTGCGGCTTAAGGCATCGAGATCTACAACAGAGGCTTTTCGCCAAAGAAGAACTGTCCTTCCAAGATGCCCTAAGAGAGGTCACCGCAGAAGAAGCAGCAGGCGGCGCCGTCAAAAACATGCGGCCGATCAGAAACAGTCCAGAAGTTGCATCCGTGCACCAGGAAGACGTCCAAGGAAACTCCGAGGAGGATCTGGACGAGGAAGTCGACCGTCTCCACCCCACGAAGGAAGGAAATCAGAAGGGAAGCTCTTCAGCTCCACTCAAGTGCATCGGCTGTGGAGGTTGCCACAGGAGAACCGACTGCAAGTTCCGCTCCGCTACCTGCCGGGCATGCGGCAAACAAAGACACATTGCAGCTGTGTGTCTGGGCCGACGAAAGGTACAACCTCAGGAAGAACTGCGCCTGAAAGGTACCAGGGTCCCCAGCCAGAATAGGGTGGGGTTTTGCGCTTCGCGAAGAAGCATCCTCAGGACAGGCACACACAAGCCCATCAAGAAAAAGCTGTCACTCAAGGTGAAGCTACAAGGGGTTCCATTAACTATGGAACTAGACACGGGGTCTGCACTTTCAATCATCTCTTTGCATACATTTAGGAAGATTTGTTCCGGCAGTGGAACTCAGGCCAAGTTAAGGCCTTCTGACATTTTGCTAAAAGACTTTCAAAATTTGAGAGTGTGTGTTAAGGGGGAGGCCACCCTTAACATACAGTATAAGAATTTTGAAGGTCCACTAGACCTATTAGTAGTAGGGGGTGAACGAACGAGTCTCATAGGACTCGATTGGTTTGAGGCCTTGGGGATTCACGTCACAGGGCTCAACAGCTTAAAAACACTCGACCTACAGGAAGTCTGCAAAGAATTTGCAGATGTTTTCAGCCCCCAGCTGGGCACATTCAAAGGACCCCCTGTGTCCTTAAAACTAGACCCCACTTTCACTCCCATTAGAATTAAAGCAAGAAGGGTCCCTTTTGCTTTAAAGAGTAAAATTGACACTGAGTTGGACAAACTGATCCAACAGGGAATTCTAGAACATGTTGATTCCAGTCCTTGGGAGACCCCCATTGTCACGCCTCTAAAGGCAAATGGGGACATTCGCATTTGTGCTGATTACAAATGCACTCTTAATAAGGCATTACAGCAACATGCCTATCCTGTTCCTGTGGTCAGTCATATCCTGGCCTCCCTCACGGGGGGGGGCGCGTTTTTGCAAAGCTTGACCTAGCTCAAGCGTATCAACAGCTGCCTGTTGATGATGATGCTGCTATAGCTCCGACTATTGTGACCCACAGGGGAGCCTTTAAGGTAAAAAGGCTGCAGTTTGGAGTGAATGTCACTCCTGGGATTTTCCAAAGCGTAATGGAAAACACACTGTGGGGCATACCGGGGGTTTGCCCCTACTTTGATGATGTCTTAATTGCAGGAGACTCCACACACATTCTAGCTGAAAGGCTAAGGGCTGTTCTGTTAAGATTCAGGAAAACAGGCCTCAAGCTCAAAAAAGACAAATGCAAGATGGGGGTGCCTTCTACTGAATTTCTGGGGTTCAAAATTGACGCTGCTGGGATTCACCCTGCTGAATCCAAACTAACTGCTATTTTAGAAGCACCTAGGCCAAAGTCTAAGGCTGAACTCCTGGCCTTCCTGGGCCTCCTGAATTTCTACAATTCCTTCCTTCCACATAAAGCCAGTGTGGCTGAGCCTCTTCACAGGCTACTAGACAAGCAAGCAGTGTGGCACTGGTCACAAACACATGAGGCTTGTTTTAACAAAGTCAAGGCCTTGCTCATTTCTAACAGTGTATTTGCACATTTCAACGAGTCCCTTCCTGTGTGCATTGCTTGTGATGCGTCCCCTTACGGGGTAGGAGCTGTCCTGAGCCACCTCAGGTCTGATGGAACTCAGGTTCCTGTTGCATATTACTCCAGAACATTGTCTTCTGCTGAGCGCAACTACGCTCAGATAGACAGGGAGGCTCTGGCTGTTGTTGCTGGAATTAAAAAATTCCATGATTTTCTATATGGCAGGCATTTCCCGGTCTTCACTGACCATAAGCCTCTGCTGGGACTGTTTACCACACGTAAGCAGACTCCCCAGATCATTTCCCCCAGAATGCTTAGGTGGTCTATTTTTTTGTCTGCATATGATTTTTCTTTACTCCACAAGCCTGGGAAAGAAATGGGCCATGCTGATGGCCTCGGTAGATTGCCTCTGCCAGTAGTAGAAGCTGACCCTGCGCCAGCTGTCAACAATTCTATCAATCCAAGCCTTGCCCGAGCTCCCTCTTAGTGCCAGGGATGTTGCCGCTGAAACAGGTACAGATCACACACTTTCACGTGTCCGTTCCTGGGTTTTGTCTGGTTGGCCTGAGCACTGCCCTAGTCCTGAGTTTCAGAGTGTCTGGTCCAAAAGGAATGAGCTGTCCCTTTCTCAGGGTTGTCTGCTTTGGGGAAACAGAGTTGTCATTCCCACCTCAATGAGGACTAGGGTCTTAGAATCCCTCCACGAGGGTCATCCTGGCATTGTTCGTATGAATGCTCTTGCACGCAGCCACTTGTGGTGGCCTGGTTTAGATAAAGATATTGAGGCTAAGGTGCATGCATGCCACCTGTGCCAACGATCTCGCCCAGAGATGCCCCAAGCTCCTGTGCATAGATGGGAGGAAACACAGTCCCCATGGTCTAGGGTGCACATTGACTACGCTGGGCCCTTTCAGGGCCAGTTCTTCTTGGTCCTTGTTGACCGGTTGTACCTGTCTCATCCACCACCACTGCAAAGACTATTCAGGTACTGAGGGGGATTTTTGCTGCACACGGGCTTCCAGATGTCATTGTGTCTGACAACGGCCCTCAATTAACTTCCTCCGAATTCCAAGCTTTCTTACAGGCTAACATGATTCGTCATGCCACGTCTGCACCCTTCCACCCGTCCACCAACGGTATGGCTGAACGTATGGTGCGCATCACGAAGGATGCATTGAAAAGACTCACCTATGGGGACTGGCATCACAGGTTGGCTGACTTTTTCCTTTCTTATCGCACCACACCATCCACTTCTACAGGGAGAAGCCCAGCTGAACTTCGTTGGGGGCGTCAACTTACTACTAAACTTGACCGGTTGCATCCAGATAGACTGCCTTCATCTACCTCACATCCTAGGGCACCGAGACAACTACTTGTGGGTGCCCCGGTTTGGGCTCGCAATTACGGGCCTGGTCATACATGGGTCCCCGCTTCTATTTCCAAGGTCACAGGTCCTCTCTCCTACGAGGTAGCCCTGGACAACGGTCGTGTCCTGCGCCGGCACATCGACCAACTTCGCCCTAGGCGGGACCTTTCAGATGAGACTCCTGGGACTTTTCCAGGGGGGGAGGGGGACCCTTTGGAGCAAAGGGAAGGGCACGAGCTGCTGCCCATCTCCACTGATGGAGCCACTGACTGCCCATTTCAAGCTTCCGCAAGTGCTCCGAAAAGGAATTCATGGAGCTTTCCCACACAACAGGCACTCATGCCTACTCCAGCCAGGGAGTCACCCCGGGGGCATACTCACTTTCCACACACATCACACAACACTCCAGTCACGGAGGATACCCGGGAGCATCCCAACAAATCATTCCCCGCAAGAGAGCTGGCACACAATCCCCAGAGTTGGCCTGACCATACCCCTAATCCTACAGGGGGTCAAACTTACAGGGAGGTGGTCGAGGAACCAAGTCCCAACCGCAACACCTCTAGCCCAAATCAGGGAGTAACTGAGTTTTGGGAAGGTACAGAGACCCACACGAGCCCGGACACAGAATGGGGCTTAGGGATTGGACAGCCTCCTGACATGTCTTGGACGGACCTAGGAGGTTCTATAGAGATGCCCAGCAGTGGCTATCACTTCAAGGGGCCTGAGGGCCTACAGCTAGGCAGGTCAACCAGGTCACAAAGTGACAGAAGCCCTGGCCTGACGAGCCCAGTGGGCGAGCAAGCAGGCCAGGCATTGGGGCAAAGTCCTTGGAAGGCGCCAAGGCATGATAAGGGGAACAGGCTCTTGTCACCCCTCAGTCAGGGAACACCTGTCAGAAACCCAGAGCTGAGAAGGTCACAGAGAGCAAGGAAGTCTCCTAAATACTTAGAGGATTACATAACATTGCTGGCTAAACAAAAGCCAGGTAACGGCAGGAGCACTGAGAAGCAGAACACTGCATAAAATAATGATTATATGTTGGTAGTAGTTTTAGCCCGGGGGAAAGGGGTGTTATGTCCCGAGCCTTGCAAACGGCTCGGGGCGTTTGCAGGCGGTCCCGGGCAGGTGCAAAGCTGCCCGGGACCAGACAGGCTGTCGCCAGCGCCGTGCGCATGCACGGGTGCTGGCGCGGGAAAAGTATCGCATTGACCCGGGAAATGCCTATATAAGAAGCTGGGAGGTTTTGGGAGCTGCTGAAGCCATCTACTTGTGAGCTGAACACAGAATAAAGAAAACTGAGAACTACAACTGCTTCTCGTGTCTGCTTTCCGCCAAGGACTCAACAGACTCAAATATCCCTCCAGCTTTCATGTCTTTCAACAGGACTACAACTCACAATTTCCTACTTTTTAGCCAGATTCCTTAATTACTAGGCCAAACTGGCTCTTAGAATAATTAGCAAATGGTTCTACTCTGAAAAAGGATTAAGACAAGGATGTGCAATATCTCCTTAGCTATTTGATATATTTCTAGGTAAGTATATAAGGAATGTCTTATTACATATATTAATTCTCACTTCCATCTAATAAACTGGCATGCGCACATTTTATTGAGTTGTTTTCTTCATTTGACAAATATTCAGTTTTGCTACAGAACATATATTACCCTATATCCATATGTTATATATATCTAATACATCCACATATTGCATATATAGTTACAGTCAGAGTAACTAAAGAGAGATGTTAAATCATATAAAACCAGACATATCACTGGAAGCTAAAATCATAAGACCACCTCTGATTTACTTTGGCAATGTTATGCATGCAAATTCATTGGAGAAGACAATGATTCTAGGAATGCTTAGTGGACAAAAAAGAAGTGGCAAACAAAGAATACTCAAACTTGATGCAAAGTTGAATATACAGCAATTGAAAAAAGCTGTGTTTGACAAAATACCGTAATATGAGGAACACTTACCTATAAAATCACCAAGAATTGGACACAACTAAATAATTAAAACTAACAAAATATATTATTTACTATCTTTCAACTAGCATTTGTACATCTTAAATTTCTCCACTCCTTTACATTATCTTTAGCAAACATTTTACTTATTAAATTGAACATCTTTCTTACAAAATCTAAATAATCTGTTCTCTACTTGCCACTGGGTCTTGTAACAATAATTGTTTCTGAAGAGCTTTTTGGTATTTTGTGTATTTCTTGTATATCTTGTACAGTTGCGTCTAGATATTCAGTCAAAAGCCTACTTTTCACAGAAAGGTCTTGGAGTTTATAATCTACAAAATAAATACAAGGCAATTTATATACTAAAAATTTAATATTGAAATTCTTAAACTATTATGTTAAATAAATAAATAGGTTATGTATATGTATTGTATGTGTGTATGATTGAATTTTAGAATGCTTCATTTATATTGTTTCATAAAATAAAATTGTAATTCATACAACAGTCTATATTAGGTTCATTGTGTACTGAGTATTTGTCTCTAGCCTTTAGCTTCAACTCTAATTAAATATTCCATGTTGGTAGACTGTTTCTGAATAGATATATATATATATATATAGCATATCTAGGATGCAGTTAAATTCCTCTTGAAACTTTAAGAGCTCTTTGATTTGATGTTGGTATTTTAATAATAACTGGGCAACATTTTATGAATTTCAATTCCTGCACTAGATAGCCAGTTTCTGAAGAAGTTGAGCATAGATAGTATATTTTTTGCTCCACTAATTCTTAGTACATTTTGTATTATCTGGAGTCAATCTATATTTATTTAAATGCTTTATATAGCTGTCCATTTCGTAGCAATGACTCTAATACAGACATGTCAAACACAAGGCCCGGAGGCCAGATGCGGCCCGCAAAGTAGTTTCATGTGGCCCCGGAAGCCATCCTGGAAACAGTGAGGGAATGGCCTCTGCTGCCTTGGCCCTGGCCCAGGCCGGCCAGGAACCAAGGTACAATTTTGTGGTGGCCATCTATGCTGAAACATATTCAGTCTTAACTCCACAAGGCTGTCTGGAAACAGCGAAGAACCAGCCCCTGCCACGTCGGCCTGTCCCCCTGGGTGCATGCTGGGGAGATGTCACCCTTTGTGAGGAATGAAGAAATGCACCTGGAAGTGGCCAGCAAATAGCCCTCATCTATTTCACATATCTGATTTGATGGGCTCCGGGGGAGGGGTTTCAGCAGGCAGTGGGGTGCTCTCCTCACAGCGCCGAGAGGCTGAGCCAGGCGGCACAAATCCAAAAAGAAACACGAGGCCGCCCAGCTCCCAGCCTGCCTGGTTTCAGCAGGCAGTGGGGCGCTCTCCTCACAGCGCCAAGAGCTGAGCCGGGTGGCACGAATCTGATGAGAAGTCTACCCCATTTCATCAGGCAGCAAGGTGCAAAGCTGGTGAGCTTCGCACTGCCCAGCTCAACCTCTTGGTGCTGTGAGGAGCGCCCCCGCTGCCTGCCAAAACTTGGCAGGCTGGGGGCTGGGTGGCATCGCACTTCTTTTTGGATTTGCGTTGCCTGGTTCAGCCTCTTGGTGCTATGAGGAAAGTGCCCCCTGCCTGCCGAAACCAGGCAGGCTGGGGGCTGAACGGCATTGCTCAGGTAACGTTGACTCTCACGTGGCATCCCCTCCTCCAGAGCCCACCAAGCCAGGCAAGGGCCATGTGCTGGCCATTTCCAGGCGATGGTGCATTTCTTCATTTCTCATGAAGTATGACACCTCCCCAGCTTTGTTTCTTGCCTGTTTTTCTCCCTCCCTCATCTCAAATATTTTTGCACCACTCTATATTTAGGAAGGAAGGAAAGAAAGAAGGAAAGAAGGAGAGGGAGGGTCTAAGGGAAGTCCTGTCTTAATCCTGCCCTGCTGCCCTTTCACCATCCCCTTGCCCCTCCTTCTGGCCTATTCTGGGGGTCTCCCATCCTATTGCTAAGGAAGCTTTGGATACAAATCTGAGAATGGGCCTCCCTCTGATTTTGCCCTCGTACCCATCATGAGCAACCTGGATAAGGAGAGCAAGCACAGCAGCAGCAGCCTTGAGTGCAGCTGGGTGCTCCCTTGGGGAAATGGGGCTGGGCTTGGTGCCGCAGGTGCTCGAGGGCCAGGTTGGGCATTTGATTTCTGCTGTCCAGGGCTCCCAGCAGCCTGCACCACCATCAGCCCCTCTACATGGCCTGAGAGGAACAGTGAGGCTCCTCCAATGGACCATGCCTTAGCACTTGCCCTGGTCCCACCCCCTTCTGCCAGAGACCCTCATATCTGCCCCACTCCTGCCTAGGCCCTCACAGGCCCCCTTGACACAAATGATGTAAAGCTGGCCATACCCACTCCATCCACGCCCACCCAGTACGCCACACCCATTCTGGCCACACCCACCAGCCCCCCGAGGGAAACTGCAATGCTGACGCAGCCCTCAATGAAATTGAGTTTGACACTCCTGCTCTAATAGAATAGAGTTTAAACGAAACCAATACAATTACAACAGACAGAACAAATCTCTAATGCTGAAAATACTTTTTCTAGAGGAAAAAAATAACAGAATAACAGAGTTGGAAGAGACCTTGGAGGTCTTCTAGTCCAACCTCTGCTCAGTCAGGAAACCCTATACTATTTCAGACAAATAGTTGTCCAATCTCTTCTTAAAAACCTCAGTGCTGGAGACCCACAACTTCTGGAAGCCAGTCATTCCATTGATTAATTGTTCTGTCAGAAAATATCTCTTTAGTTCTAGGTTGCTTCTCTCCTTGATTAGTTTCTATTCATTGCGTCTTGTCCTGCCTTCAGGTGCTTTGTAAATAAATTAACTCCCTCTTCTTTGTGGCAAGCCCTAAGATATTGGAACATTGCTATCATGTCACCCCTAGTTCTACTTTTCATTAAACTAGGCATATTCCTGTTATCATTCTTCATGTTTTCATGTCCAGTCTCAACATCTTTTTTATATTGTGGTGAATGCAGTATTCCAAGTGTGGCCTTACCAAGGCATTGTAAAATGGTATTAACACTTCATGTGATCTTGATTCTATCCCTCTGTTAATGCAGCCTAGGACTGTGTTGGCTTTTTTTGGCAGCTGCAGCACACTGCTCGCTCATATTTGTGATTCTCATTTTTCTCTCTCCTAATTTTCATTTTTTATCTCTGTTTATCTCTGTTCAGGAGCATTTCCTTTTATTATTAAAGAAATAATGTCTTGCAGTGATATTGGCTTACACATTCATTCTCCTTGTCATCCTAAAGCTATAATTTCAATGTATCACTTTCACTGATTAGTTCACTAATTTTAATTTTTTATTACTAATGTCATAATTAATTTGTTAATATATCCAATTTTTCTCTTTATTTGATCTTTGTTGTATTTAATTTGTTCATATGTCGAACTTTTCTGTTTATTGTTCATTAACTATTGATTTTTTACTTACCACTGGTACTATCTGGTTGGGCAGCTGCAAGAGCTTGAACTTCCTGCAGCTCTTTTTGATTGAATGCCAAATCTTCCAGTATTTCAAACTTCTTTTCTAACAATTCATGTAGATCTTTTTCTGCAAAATTGAGACATTTTAAATAAGACATCATTGTTCTCCAAAAAAGAACAAGCTTATGTAAAAAATAAATTACTTAATGGAAATTTCAAATGCCACATTTACATTTAATGAATGTATAATCAAGTAAGATTCTTTTACATTCTTTTAATGGAAACACATTTTGCATTATAAAAAACATTTTGCATTACACAGGTTTATATTAAATAAAATTATAATATTCCCAGATGGCAATAACAAATATGAAGGACAGATTTAAAATAAAAATATTAATGATCTACAGAAGATAAAAAGGTATTTCTTTGAGCCTCATGATAAAAAATATTCAGATTATCCAAACCATACAACCATCATTACTAAATACAGAGAACTGAACAATCAATCCTAGGCAATAGGATTCAAATTATGACAAAAAAACTAATTGATAGCCAGTGTATTTTCTATAGATTGTATGTAAAGAAATACCAGGACCTCTGACTATTCTTGTAATCATATTCTGGAAGTTTTCACAGGGTCTCCAGTATTAATCAATGTGCAGTCTATTATTCAATCCCCATAGATAATATTGCACAGTCTATATGAGGCATTCTGAGTCATAAAGATGATAATGACAGCTTTACCGGCTTCAGTTAAATTCTTGTTACCCACTTTGCCCTGGGACCCACAAAGAAGCACCATTCACAGTGGCAAGATTCTTTTTAATATTGCTCAGAAAAGTTTTGATTAGGATAACAGAATATCAATCCCTCATGCTTTATAATTTATAATTGCACTATAAATCCTTTAGGAAGTACATGAAGACAGTGCTTTTGCTAAATGGGATTGCCTACAAACAAATAAAATAATACTTATACCAGTCAACAGTATAAAGGAGCCAGTAAAATCACTTTGTTCTTATTTTTACAAGAATTAGGCTTTTCCCCCCAGCAGTATAAAGTTTGAATTCAATCACTGGTACATGAATAATAGATCAGAAGATTTATATATTTATAATATTTGAAAAGGTTTTACTTACGATCCAATTCAAATTTTTTTCAAAGGGCTTCAAGCATAATTAAAATTAAAAATATGCAAGATTCAAATATAGAGAAACGAGAAGAGAGATGAAATCTCATACACTTCCTATTGCATTGTCTCATTTGTCTACAGCAATGGTTCTCAACCTTCCTAATGCCGCGACCCCAACCATGTGGTTGTAAGTTGAGGACTACCTGTATTTCCCTGCGGACGGGGCAGGAAGAGGCGTGCATGCTCCGCCTCCTCTTCTGCGGCTGCATGTGGGCCGTCGCCCAGCAACCGCCTCGGCCCGGGAGCACCGCGCATGCGTGGTGCCGCCCCCTGCACCCAAGGCATAGCTGGCAAGCGCAGCGACGGCACAGGCCAACTACCGGCTGGGCCACCAGCTGGCCCAGCCCAAGGGAGGTAAGGCACCCGCCAGGCCCCACGTGCACCAGCAACCCTCCCTGAGCCCGCCGCTGCCCCGCTAGCCTTACCTTGGCAACCACACGTTCAGTGCGGCGGCAGGCAGGCCCAGGCGCTCCTGGGTGGCCATGGCACGCAGCAGCAAAGGCGCAGGCCAACCACTGGCTGGGCCACCAACTGGCCCAGCCCAAGGGAGGTAAGCAACCCGCCGGGCCCCACGCATGCCAGAAACCCTCCCTGTGCCTGCCGGCCTCCCATCTCCCACCCCTGGCCCTCTTTTACTTACGTTTAGTAGTTGCTCAACAGGAAGGGGTGGAAACGTGCAGAAATCTCGCCTTAGCTGCAGATAACTTGCAGCACCGTTTGCAGACTGGGGCTTTTGGCGGGCTCAGCAGGACAGAGGCAGCCTGGACAATTCCTATTGGCTTTTGAAAACCAATAGAATTAGACTCTATTCAAACGCCAATAGAATAGAGTCTCTTGAATAGAGTCTATTCTATTGGCTTTCAAAAGCCAATAGAATAAGAAGGAGTAGCACAGCTAAGGAAAATGAGGAAAAAATGGCGGACTGCATTGTTTGGCGACCCCTGTGAAATCGTCATTCAACCCCAAATGGGGTCGCGACTCACAGGTTGAGAACCGCTGGTCTAGAGTTGATCTTGAAATTCTGCTTTACTGAATTTCTAGTTCAATGGTGGGAACAATATGCAGCCTAGGCAAATCTTTAAAGTCCAAAAAAGCCACTTAATTACTCACAAAGCTTATATCTGGTAAAGAGTGATCATGAGTTAGTATTAACCTTTATCTTCTCCCAACTTTCTATTCTTTCTAGCTTTGAATACAGTATTTTATTTGCTTACCGCTGGCTTTTATATCAAGAAGTATTTCTGAAGTACTATGTTCTGCTCTTCGAATATTCTTTACTATTGTCTCTAACTCCGCAGTTAAATGTTTCCTTTGCTCAGTTAGCTGCTTTTGTTTATCTTCTACAAAAACATTTTAGATCAATTCATAAAAAATTATTAAATGAATACATTTGCTGTACAATATTGCAATCAGTATTTAATATAATCTCAATTGTTTATATTTTACAAAACTTCTTAAATTAACTGAGTTAAAGTATATAATCAAAGTGTTCTTTGTCTTAATATCCAAGTTGGCACCATTAAGCAAGTTACAGGTTAGAAACCAGGATCTTAACCATATTTTGAAATCATAATTTAACAAAGTTTATCTATACAAGCAAATACAAACCAATATGTTATGCAATATCCATGCAGTTTGGCTGTATTACTATTATCTCTCTCATCTTTTTTATTACCTTCTCATATTGGTATCTTATGATTATTTTACTTTGTTTTATATGTACATTGAGAGCTTCTCCACCAGAGGCAATTTCCTTCTATGTCAAATCATACTTGGCCAATAAAGTGTTCTGTGCTATGCTATGCTATGCTACGTTACGCTATGCTACTCTATGCTATGCTATGCTAATCGCTAGGAACTTAGATAACTTTTGAAATTTCTAAATACATTTCAAACATATGTTCTGATTTTTGTCCTATTTCAGGAAAAAATGTACGTATATGCAATACATTGATATTTCTGATTTCAGTTATGGATCTTTCAGGCCACAGTCATTAGAGTAATAACTGTAGGCACTGTATTAAATTGGAAGGCAGGTTTCAGGAACTTAACCTGGGGATTAAATGCTTTACTGCCTGATGTTTCTATTATGGAATCTCTCAGGATTCTATTTTTCTCTAAGCTACTTAAATGACACTATATTCAAAGTTTTGGAAGAAAATGTCATCATTAAATATATGAAATGAAACTATATATATTATTTTCATTAAATTCAGGGGAGTGTCTATTGACAAAGTATTACTATGCAACTAAAGAATGATATAAAAATATCTGCAGTAAGTACTAAAAGTAACAAATTATTGTTAGGATCCAGCAAAAGTACAGTATATTAAAAAGATGAAATTATTATTGTCAATGTTTAAGATTCTTTTGCAACTGCTTTTATAAAATAGTACATTTTCCAATGCCATGAAAGCACATGTAATTAACCGGCTAAAACATTGAGCAAGAAACTCCAGAGTCCAAGAGTTTCTGCATGTCCTACTTATATAACTATTAAAGCAGGAATAATTTTTTATAGCCATGCCCAGTTTCTCTAACAAATGAAGCACATTAATTCAAGGTGCACAGGATTAATATTATAGCTGAAAAAATAAGGAATCACCACAAACATACCATCTAAGCCACCAGGTTGGGCCGCTGCAAGAGCTTGAGCTTCTTGTAGCCTTTTTAGATTTTCCAATAACAATTGTTTCTTCTCAGATAGTGTATATAATTCTTTTTCTGCAAAAAAAGAGAAAGGTTTTAAATTATCTCTTCAAATTTATTTAAGAAGCTTCTTATTGCTCAGAAAATTATGACAAAAATTAAAATTACTTTTTCAAGCATAACTGAGTTTATTTTGTTTCTAATGAAGAATGCATTCTGATGGAATTTATAACTCTTTTGCTTAGAAAAAGGTTTTATGTATTTATTTCCTTTTGTTAACTTACCTCCATAATGTCTATCTGGAAATTTCTCCGGAGCACCTTGCTGCAATGCTAATATTTCCTGAAAAACTTTCTTTAGCTCTTTAGACAAATTGCTTCTTTCATCAGATAATACTTGTAATTTATGCTCTGTAAAAATAATTAGGTCAGTTCATTAAAAAATGCTGATATATTTGCCCTATTTACAATATGTGCATACAATTGGTATTTAGTATATTACAAGTTGTTCAAAAGCACTCGATTTTAATTTGACTGAATTGTATTTTTAGCTGTGACATTTATAGTTTTTAATATTTGTTAATGATAGTGATTTTAGATACTTGTAATTTTAGTTTTGTTATACACTTCCCAGACTCACTTGGTTATGAGACAACTTGCTATATAAATTAAATTAAATAAATATTAAATAAATAAAATAAAATACATACAAAGTTAGCCTGCTTTCTCCAGAAAATGCTTGGTATTTCTTTAAACTCTCATACCAGCAAAGCACTGGCAAGGGGTCTTGAATTCATTAGCCCATTGCCCTTGGTCAAGCAAACCACAGCAGCAGGAAAATAAATATATAAATAAAATATTCTTCTAAAAAAATTAAACCTATAACTGCATCTATTCATCATTTAATTTTAAGGAAATGGATATCAGTAAGAATCTGATTAAAAATTAAACTGTTTAGCATGTCAAAAATCATAGTGTATTGTTAATTTTAACTAAAGTTGATAAAACTTCATTTCTTTATTAAATGTGAATTAATATTGGCCTTTCACTTTCCACATATGTTTAAAAACTATTTTAACAATACAACAAGCTGTTACAGTTTACAACTAGAATGAAAATGTTTAAATACTTCTATTTAACCACGCCCCGAAGAAAAATATAAGTCTCAGCCTTGTTGTACCAGCTACTATGAATAAAATCTATAGTAAAACCCAATTATCTAGCGTACTAAACAAATGTGAGTAACAACAATTCTATGGAGTGCTATAGTGCTTCTCAAGTTGTGATTCTAAAACTTTACTGGATCATCTTTTTCTTGCTCCTTCTTTTCATCAGTGACAGAAAATTTGAGAAATCTTGCTTATAGCTCAGCAAATACTATTTCATCTTAATTATAAATTCAATTGATACAAAGAAACTTACTTCAAACTTTATATATCTGGCATTAGAAATATTAGAAATTACAGTTTACCAACCACTGATATATCCTGGTTCAGCAGCTACAAGAGCCTGAGCATCTTCTAATTCTGTCCAATTTGAATCCAAACGTTTCTGTAGCAATTCTTTTTTTTTAAGTAGGTGATTCAGTGGTCTCCCTTTTTGTATTATTTCTTTAAAAATATTTAAAAATATTCTTGTTATTTATAAAGTCACATAACGTGAACAATTATTTTTAAAAACTGGATTATTTCATATAATGCTAAGTATTATTGTAGATCTCATTCAATAAAACAAAACAAACTAACTGAAATTATTTTGGATGACTAACAATCTTGATCAATAAAATACTAATATGTTATAATAGACAATAACCTTTTCAAAGCAGACTTAGAATACATTCTGCAGACCTATCTTTTGCAAAACGCCCTTTGCCCAAGCCAACAACATAAAATTAAGTAAATAGGGATGGCAGACTAATGGTGTCAAATGACAACAAATGATACAAAGAGACAATGACTTCAAATCTGCTTGAATTTGTTTTCACTGAGTTTTATATGGGTAAAATACATTTTTAATTTTTATGTTATTGATTTGTATTCCACCCTTATTATTTTTACAAATAGCTCAAGGTGGCAAACATATCCAACACATCTTCCTCCTGCTGTTACCCACAACATAATCCTGTGACATGAGTTGGACTGAGAAAGAGTGACTGGCCCAAAGTCATCCAGCCAGCTTTCATGACTAAGGCAGGACTTAAACTTCAGTCTCCTGCTTTTTAAACTTGTGCCTTAACCACTAGACCAAACTGGTTTTTAAGAAAGAGAAACAGAAACACCCATTTTATTTTTCATAAAAACTTAATTTAATAAGATTTGCTTTTAGTTTTCAGAAATTCAAATTGGTTGAATTTTGTATGTGATTGGTGTATACATTAATTACTCTTTTAATTGCCACCTAGTTAGTCACCTACATTGTGGAAAAAACCCAAACTTTTATTGACAGGATAGGCTCATTATTCTAACCATTCATTTTATGCTAGAAATGCAGTTTTTAGTATGTTTCCAAAAGAAGATTAGGAACTGAAACATGCTTGTAAAAATATAACAGGGATGATATTCTTTAAAATAAATGAATAATGATAATTTTAAAAAAATATTTTAAATAAAGAATTGGGACTCAGACTGGCTGTCAAAATTTCCTTTTGCAAAACTGCATGTTCTTCATCATATCAAATATGTATTGCAGTGCTAAGCAACCTTAAAATATAAGCTTTTTGTGAATCAAATAATGCCTCCAATTTCAAAACAAAATAAATTATAAATACAAAAAGTATTAAGAGATATAAGTTAATAGCTTGAAGTGCTTTAGAAATAGGACTTAAAATGCATTTGTAGAATGCTTCCGAATACATCCATAAAGTTTAGTCATAATGGCAGCATGATGAATTTGATGACTGTAAAACTGAAGTACATTATTATTATTATTAAAGACTACCAAACAGTTCTAAATATATATAAAAACTATGAAATATAAGAATAATACAGGTAATCTTCAACTTAAAACCACAATTGAGCCCAAAATTTCTGTTGTTAAGTGAATTTTGTCCCATTTTACAATCTCTCTTGCCATAATTATTAAGTGAATCGGTGCAATTGTTAAATGAATCTGACTTCCTTATTGACTTTGCTTATCAAAAGGTTGCAAAACATAAAACATAACAACCATCATAAATATGAACCAGTTGCCAAGCATTTGACTCAACCCAGGGCTCTGTTCTCTTTCCTGAAGGCCTCTGCCAACAAAACAGAGCCCAGGGGGCAACATGAGTGTCAACCCAGGGCTCTGTTCTCAGCTGTAGAGGCCTTTCCTGAAGGCCTCTCCTAGCGAAACGGAGGTTGGGGACAATGTGCACGAGTGGTGGCGAGTGACCACAGAAGAAGTAGACTGGTGGCCATGCAGACTCCTGCTGGATGGGGCTATTGGTGCCACCGCCACAAGGTGAGGCAGATCTCGGGACGTGGGAGGCTTGACTGCAAGTGCCCTGAGATAAGCGGGTGCAGGGAGCATGGGGCAGCTCCACCCCCTCTCCCACCTGCCTCACCTCAACTCATGACAGTGGCACCATGAACAACCAGATGGAATGGGGAAGTAGTCAGCTGCGCAGGCTCTTAACTAGAGCTTATTTTGAGGGTACGGCTTATATTAGGTGCACACATAAAAATCAAGCTAGGATTTATTTTCAGGAATATGTCTTATTTTCGGGAAAACATGGTATGTACAATGAGGTGATAATATTTGTTATGTATTCTCTTTTACATGCATACATTGCCTTCAGAGATATGAGGAAGAGGATACCAAAATCTAAAAAGACCCCACTTTACTAATTTATAACTGTCTATACTTTTCAGGAGATAAGGAAAGAGGGAATGACAGAAAATAATTGATTTTTTACGATCAGTAAGAAAAAGAAGTGTTTCTAGTAAATGATCGCTTTTAATACAAACTTAACTCCTTTTGATAAATCATTAAACAGTATATTTTAGGCCATTGTTCTAAATAGCTATTAACCATTCATACAAGAACAGATAAAGGTGCTTGACTTACACTTCTTCTAACATTATTATAATAAAGATGGTGATAAAGCATTATTGTAAAAAAATATAAAACATTATAAGTCATACCACTAGGTCGTTCAATCTGAGCCATTTCTAAAACATGTTCTGCCTTTTGAATATCATGTACAGTTGCCTTTAAAACTGTCGTCAAGCGTCTTTTTGCCTCAACCAATTCTTGAAGTGCATGTTCTGTAAAATAATTTCAGGTCAATACACATAATAATTTATTTATTCAACTTATTATAAGGCCTAAATAATTTTAGTGGATTGCTATTAAAACAATACATATTATCAAAATGACACCGAAAAATATTTAAAAATAGTACAAATAGATAGAAACAAACACACCCCTATGGCTATACAGTAACACCCAAAAGCCTTTTGAAAAAAAAGAAAACCATGAAAACATTAAAGCTCTAATAAAGAAAAACAAGCAATGTTCCCTATTTATCTAGTAAGATTTTTTGATCAATATAAACTCTAAATTTAAAAATAATAATCTACAATCTACAAAATGTAATCTCCTTCAAATTGAACCTTCTGGTGACTTCACATGCATGTAATGTTCTTGGTAGCAATAAAAATGATTTGTGATTCCCTTCTTTCAGGGTATTTTTTTTAATTTCTCAATATAGCTTACAAACCTGAAACAGCCTGTTGGAAACCCATTTCCAGGGCTGACCTTTGTTTAGTTTCTGAGTGTGGGAAGGACTAAAATGACAATATGATATTAAAAAGATCCAAATGAAGTTTTTTTCTGTCTCTTTTAATGTTTCAGCTTTTGGTTCTTTTTTCATTTATTTCCTAACTTTTCTTAACTGGCCAATTATCTTTTACACTTTTTGACATTAATTGGCCATTTTAATGTTCAACCTGGAGTTTTCAGGAACTCCAACCTGAGAAAGTACTCTGAAGTACTCTCACTTAACAAATAGGCAGGTATAGCAATGGGAAAACAACAGTGAGAAAACAGCAATAGGAAAACAGCTAAAAAATGCCCAAAACAGCTGGGGGGCAGGAGAATCCCTGAAGACATTTGTGGAAACTTTTGCATCTACTTTCTGCTATGCTGGATTTTCAGTCTCTTGGATAGTCTGCAGACACAAGATAGTCTACACCTTCAACAGACTCTTTTTAATCCCTTTATATGATCAGAAGTTGACTCATAAAGTCATCTTTGGAAATTCATCATGGACGTATATTTAGAATGTAACCAAGTATACTCTATTTTAGTGCAAAACAATTCTTTTATCTAAGAAACTTCAGACAGCTGGCATCCAAAAAAGGTCATTGGCATTTGGTTTCTATTCAACATTGCACAGTTTATTTTTGCCTAGGTTGAATAACTCATTTGAAAAACCCCTTTCTGATACTCATAATTAAAATGTATGATGTATCTTGCTTAAAAGTTAGATATAACTGAGTAGGAATTCTTTCCAATTATATACCTACCTTTAGCGATGCTCATCAGGTTTGTATATTCAAAGCACTTTTATTGGACATCAGAGATTTAGGAAAATTAAACACTGGCCAACTTCCCCTGGTGATATGATTACATTTCAGACATTTGGCAACCTGTTCATATTTCTGACTGGTTGCCAAGTACCCTGCAGTCATGTGACAGCTATTTGCAATCTTCTTGCCAGCTTTGGAAACTAGCAAAAAATAGAGGGGAGAAAAGATTTGATGCCCATTGTCCTAGTGCACCAAGGGATTTGCCTTCCTTTAATGCAGTAATCCTTTATGGATTACTGCCTTGTCGTGGCGAAGGGGCTTGCGTAACTCAATGAAGCTATGAGCTATGCCGTGTAGGGCCACCCAGGGCGGACAGGTTATAGCAGAGAGTTCTGACAAAATGTGATCCACTGGAGAAGGAAATGGCAAACCACTCCAGTATCTTTGCCATGAAAACCCCATGGACAGTACTAAAAGGAAAAAAGATATGACGCTGGAAGATGAGCCCCTCAGGTCGGAAGGTGTCCAATATGCTACTGGGGAAGAGCAGAGGGCTAGTACTAGTAGCGCCAGAAAGAATGAAGCGACTGGGCCAAAGCCGAAAGGATGCTCAGCTGTGGATATATCTGGTAGTGAAAGGAAAGTCCGATGCTGTAAAGATTTTTTCTCCATAGGAACCTGGAATGTAAAATCCATGAATCAAGGCAAGCTAGACGTAGTCAAAAAAGAGATGACAAGACTGAACATCGACATCTTGGGAATCAGCGAACTAAAATGGACAGGAATGGGTGAATTTAACTCAGATGACCATCAGGTATACTACTGTGGGCAAGAATCCCTCAGAAGAAATGGAGTAGCCTTCATAGTCAATAAAAGAATAGGAAAAGCAATACTGGGATACAATCCCCAAAATGACAGAATGATCTCAATTCGAATCCAAGGCAAACCATTCAATATCACAGTAGTCCAAATCTAGGCCCCAACCACTGGTGCTGAAGAGGATGAAATTGACCGGTTCTATGAAGCCCTACAGCACCTTATAGAATTAACACCAAAAAATGATGTCCTTATCATCATGGGGGATTGGAATGCTAAGGTAGGAAGCCAAAAGATAACCGGAATAACAGGCAAGTTTGGCCTTGGAGTACAAAATGAAGCAGGGCACAGGCTAATAGAATTTTGTCAAGAGAATACGATGGTCATAACAAACACTCTTTTCCAACAACCCAAGAGACGACTCTACACATGGACATCACCAGACGGTCAATATAGAAATCAGATTGACTATGTGCTCTGCAGCCAAAGATGGAGAAGCTCTATACAGTCAGTAAAAACAAGACCAGGAGCTGACTGTGGCTCAGATCATGAGCTTCTCGTTGCAAAATTTAGGCTTAAATTGAAAAAAGTAGGGAAAAGCACTAGGCCACTCAGGTATGAACTAAATTATATTCCTGATGAATATACAGTAGAGGTGACAAATAGATTTAAGGAACTGGATCTGATAGACAGAGTGCCTGAAGAACTATGGATGGAAGTTCGCAACATTGTACAAGAGGTAGCAACTAAAACCATCCCAAAGAAAAAGAAATGCAAGAAAGCAAAATGGCTGTCTGAGGAAGCTTTGCAAATAGCTGAGGAAAGAAGGGAAGCAAAAGGCAAAGGAGAAAGAGAAAGATACACCCAATTGAATGCAGAATTCCAGAGAGTAGCTAGAAGAGATAAGAATGCCTTCTTAAATGAACAGTGCAAAGAAATAGAAGAAAACAACAGAATAGGGAGGACCAGAGATCTCTTCAAGAAAATTGGAGATATGAAGGGAACGTTTCATGCAAAGATGGACATGATAAAGGACCAAAATGGCAGAGACCTAACAGAGGCAGAAGAGATTAAGAAGAGATGGCAAAACTACACAGAAGAACTATACAAGAATGAGCTTAACATCCCAGATAACCACAGTGAGATGGTCATTGACCTCGAATTAGACATCTTAGAATGTGAAGTGAAATGGGCCTTAGAAAATCTGAGCAACAACAAAGCTAGTGGAGGTGACAGTATTCCAGCTGAGCTATTCAAAATCTTCGTGTTCATTGTAAGCCTGTCCATCTCAGCACATATTAAAATTTTATGCAGGATCTCTTCTTCCGTTGGGGTTTCCTTGTTCCTCCAATTTTGAGCAAAAACCAGCCTGGAGGCCGTTAAAATGTGTAGCATTAAATAAAGTACGCCTTTGTCATGTTTTTGCGTAGTTAAACCTAATAGAAAGAGTTCTGGTTTTGGTTCTACCGCTTGCTCTAATATTTCTTCCAACCAAATTTTAATCCTGTTCCAAAAATCACGAGCTCGCGTGCATTCCCAACACATATGATAGTAAGTTCCACTTTTCAAATTGCATTTCCAACATTTAGGGGAGACATTGGTATACATTTTAGACAATCTTGTGGGTGGGAGATGCCATCTATAAAACATTTTGTAAAGGTTCTCTTTGTAAGAGGTGGCCAAAGTAAGCTTCTTGTTTCTTGCCCATAGTTCTTGCCATATATGCAGATCAAAATTAAGACCAAAATCCTTACTCCAATTCAACATAGTCACTTTTACTTGTTCCTCGTACGTTGCCTGATCTAGCAAATAATAGTATAGTTTTTTAATCATTTTATCCTCCGACCCCAAAATTATTTTATCCAATTCTATTGGTTCTAATTTAATACCTAACTCTTTTTTGTCTTTCCGATATCTTGCCTGCAGTTGCAGGTATGCCCACCATTCTAATTCTATCCCTTCATCGTGGATGGTTTTCCTGGATTTCAATTCCCCTCTTTCATCTAAAATATTTTTATATGTTATGATCTTGTCTAATTGAGTAAATTTTGGGTGTACATATATTTCTAACGGTGAGATCCAACTAGGTACTTGGGTATAATTTGGTTGCCAAATTTTTGTCCATACATCAATAAGAGCTTGCCTAATATAGTGACTTCGAAAATATTTATGTACTTTATATTTATGATCCCATAATATGGCATGCCATCCTATTTGTAGGTCATGGCCCTCCAGACACAATAGTCTCCTATTTTTTAGTAATATCCAATCTCTTACCCATACTAATGCTGCGGCCTGGTAATATTTCTCCAAGTCTGGAAGACCAAATCCCCCCCTTTCCTTTGAGTCCTGTAGTAATTTTAATTTAATCCTTGCTCTTTTTCCTTGCCAGATGAATTTACACATCATTTTGTTCAAATTTTGAAAAAATTTCTTGTCTAATTTTATAGGTATACATTGGAACAAAAATAAAATTTTTGGCAACACATTCATTTTAATCACCGCGATTCTGCCGTAAGAGAGAGCTGTAGGTTAGTCCAAATATCAAAGTCTTTTTGAATCTGTTCTATTAACTTATCATAGTTATCCCTTTTAAGCGTAGCGCATTTGGCAGTCAGTTGTATCCCTAAATGTCTAATTTTATTTGTAATTTGAACACCAATTCTATAAACCAATTCACTTTTCTGTATTTTAGTCATATTTTTGACAAGCATTTTAGTTTTTTCTTTATTTATTTTTAAACCTGCTATTTCCCCGTATCTATTCAATGTTTCCATCAGCCTAATCCCTGATTGTAGTGGTTCTTCAATAATAAAAACTAAATCATCTGCAAAGGCTTGTATTTTAAATGTCTCTTTCTTGATTTCTAGACCTTGGATCTGTTCATCTTGCCGGATTGCTCTAGTTAATACCTCGAGAGATAATATAAATAACAATGGTGATAGTGGGCAGCCTTGCCTTGTGCCTTTTTGCATTTGGAAACTCTCAGTCAGTTCTCCATTGATTATTACTTTGGCCACCTGCTTAGAGTAAACTGATTTAAACATATTTAAGAAATTTTCCCCAAAGTCCATATACAATAATTGATTAAACATAAAATCCCATTTTACATTGTCGAATGCTTTTTGGGCATCAAGAAAAATTAAACACATTTGCTTTTCATTATGTACTTCATAATATTCCAATATGTCCAAAACAGTCCTAATATTGTTTCTTATATATCTTTTAGATAGAAAGCCGTTTTGATCAATATGTATAAAATCCACTAAGAACCTTTCCAATCTTTGTGCCATTATTGCCATGAAGATTTTGTAATCTGAATTCAAAAGAGAAATGGGTCTATAGTTCTTAATTTGTGTCAGGTTGGTGTTTTCTTTAGGAATCAACGTGAGGAAGGCTTCTTCCCATGAAGCTGGTATTTTAGCTTGGGTTAAAACCTCGTTAAATAAGTCCAACAGCATTGGGCTTAAAGATTCTTGTGCAATTTTATACATTTCTGCAGGTATACCATCTGGTCCAGGTGTTTTATTATTTTTCTGTTTCTTAATTGCAACCGAGAGCTCTAAATGTGTTATCTCTTTATTTAGGAGAGTTTTAAATTCTTCTGGCACCTTGGGTAAATCGACTAGTTGTAAATACTGTACTATGTCATGGTTATTTCTCTTTTCTCTTTTCAAAATCTTAAAAGACGATGCAGTAAAAGTGCTACACTCAATTTGCCAGCAAATTTGGAAAACTCAACAGTGGCCACAGGAGTGGAAAAGGTCAGTTTACATTCCAATTCCAAAGAAAGGCAATGCCAAAGAATGTTCAAACTATCGCACCATTGCACTCATTTCACATGCTAGTAAAGTTATGCTTAAAATCCTACAAGCTAGACTCCAGCAGTATGTGAATCGAGAACTACCAGAAGTACAGGCAGGATTTCGAAGAGGCAGAGGAACTAGAGATCAAATTGCCAACATACGCTGGATCATGGAGAAAGCTAGGGAGTTCCAGAAAAACATCTACTTCTGCTTCATTGACTATGCAAAAGCCTTTGATTGTGTGGATCACAACAAATTGTGGCAAGTTCTTAAAGAGATGGGAGTACCAGACCATCTCATTTGTCTCTTGAGAAACCTATATGCGGGTCAAGAAGCAACAGTGAGAACCGAACACGGAACCACTGATTGGTTCAAAATTGGAAAAGGAGTCCGGCAAGGCTGTATACTGTCGCCCTGCCTATTTAACTTATATGCAGAGCACATCATGAGAAAGGCAGGGCTAGATGAATCAAAAGTTGGAATTAAGATTGCCGGGAGAAATATCAACAACCTAAGATATGCAGATGATACCACTCTAATGGCAGAAAGTGAAGAGGAACTAAAGAGCCTCTTGATGCGGGTGAAGAAAGAGAGTGCAAAAGTTGGCTTGAAACTCAACATTAAGAAAACCAAAATCATGGCATCCGGCCCTCTCAATTCCTGGCAAATAGATGGGGAAGAAATGGAGGTAGTGACAGATTTTATTTTTCTGGGCTCAAAGATCACCTCAGATGGGGACTGCAGCCAAGAAATTAAAAGACGCTTGCTCCTGGGGAGGAAAGCTATGGCAAATCTAGACAGCATACTAAAAAGCAGAGACATCACCCTGCCAACAAAAGTGCGTATAGTCCAGGCCATGGTTTTCCCAGTTGCAATGTATGGCTGTGAAAGCTGGACCATAAGAAAGGCTGAGCGCAAAAGAATTGAGGCCTTTGAACTATGGTGCTGGAGAAGAGTCCTGCGAGTCCCTTGGACTGCAAGGCATTCAAACCGGTCAGTCCTAGAAGAGATCAACCCCGACTGCTCTTTAGAAGGCCAAATCCTGAAGTTGAAACTCAAGTACTTTGGCCACCTAATGAGAAGGAAGGACTCACTGGAGAAGGCCCTAATGCTGGGAAAGATTGAAGGCAATAGAAGAAGGGGACGACAGAGAATGAGATGGCTGGATGGAGTCACTGAAGCAGTAGGTGTGAATCTGAATGGACTCCAGAAGATGGTAGAGGACAGGAAGGCCTGGAGGAACGTTGTCCATGGGGTCGCAATGGGTCGGACACGACTTCGCAAGTAACAACAACAACAATGCAGAGAGGAGAAATACTCCTGCATTTGGAGGAATGGACCTCAAATCTGGTGAAAATGCTAGCAATGCTGCAATTCTGAACAGTTCAAAGCCTTTCATATCCCCCCCCCACCCCGGAATTCACTTCTTTTGCTAGTATATTATGGAAAAGGAAAACCTAAAACACTGAGGTTCAGAGCTTTTCAGAATGTTAGCTTTGCTAGGGTTTTGTTCTCTCTTGTTCTCCTGATGTTTCTCAAGGTCTCTTTTCCAAATCACACAAATCGTTGATAGAATGGAACCTGAATTCAGGATAGAGCAAGATGGTGAGAAGGTAAGTTGAATGAGGGGTGGTGGGGTGGGGAGAAGGTTCACAGACTGGTAGCTTTGGTCAGTCAATGTCTCCTATTTTTTTTATATTATCACATAATCAATACCTAATTTTGGCAGCAAAAGATTATTTTCTCAAAATAATTACTTATGAATTGTAAGAGCAAAGGATTTACATTAGCTGACAATAGGTGTTCTTGAAAATGGAATATATATATATAGCTACAGATATAATTGCTGAAAACTAGGATTAGCAATCCTCAATAATTTGGTAGGGGATGTTCATCTGGTAAAATATAATTTTTTTGAAATGTCTAAATACATTTTCTTTCATGTTTTTTTCCTTCCATTTCCAGTAACTTTTTCGATTCTTATTTTACCCAATCCAGTCTATATTATTATTTTTATATGAATGAAAAGACAAAGGAAAATATGTGTGTGATATGTGTGGGCATGTCTCTGTATAGAAAAGAGATGATACAAATTTCTTGGTGTGAAAGTGGTTTGTATGCACAAGAAATTCTTGTCTATGCATAAAAGATATACATTTTTGTCACAGATTTCTTACTACCAGTTTTCTTATTAGAGAGTCATCTTTCAAAATATCTACCATTGCTATCCATACTATATAGTTTTAAATCTCATTTGAAGTTAAAATTATTCCCTGGGCATTTGCAGGCTCACAACTCTGGTAAGAACAAGAGGTCTTTTAATTATTGCAACCCTATTGTTATTTTATAGGACTTTTTATTTTCATCTAAGTTAACAAAATGCTTTTTATGAAGATAATTTTATATGTTTAGTTTTTGTACACTCCTCTGGCTTCCTTTGGAAGGAAAAACAGTATATGAATGAATGGATGGATGGATAATATAATAATATTAGTAATAATTCCTGTTCAAGTTTTTAAATTATGAAGCAATATAGCGACCTTACCACTGATAATGCCTGGATGGATAGATGCAAGAATCTGAGCTTCATCTATCTCCTTCTCATTGGACTTCAACTTTTCTTGCAATTCTTTCTTCTTTACTAATAGGTCATATAATTCCTTTTCTTCAGATAAAAATATTTTAAAAATTATTCCGTGAAAACAGTTCAAAGTATAATTATATCTTATCATTAAAAATCATACATCGATCATTTCAAGTGCAATTTTTTTTGTTAAAACAAATGCAAGGCAAAAAATAGTGACATTGTAATGAAAGTATCTAATATTTTCAGATACCTTCATTACAGTGTCACTATTTCTTGCCTTGCATTTGTTTTACAACTCCATTATACAGCTCCATTTAAACTGAAAAACAAAAATTAAGAAAAAAAAACAGATTTCAGGCAAGAGAACAAAAAAAAGTCAATTTTCCCCCCTCAGTTATTTATTTGGAAGGACAAGATAAAAGTCCCACTCCAGCATGCTTCTCTGTCTGTAGGAAAATAACATCTTCATGGACATCAATATTGGAAGGTGCGTATGCTTATTTTAAAAATTGTGAGAGGTAATAAAGATAATATTTATGTAACAATGAATTAAAGAAGTATATAATTTCTGAGAGATCAAGAGTTGTAACTATTTTCAAGATCCTCAAGGCCATAGGCCAAGGCCTATAATATATATATATTAAAAAGAATGGCTATTTTTTTTAACGTTTTATAGTGTTTCTCCAAAGCCTGGAAGAAGCAAACTGCAGTCTTTCCTACTAATAATCTAAAGTGTCAAAATACAGCTCAAAAGTTTGGGGAGGGGGTGTATTTTTGGAGGTTTCACAGTTGCAAAATGCAGCCAAGAAGTCAGAATGGGAATTGGAATAGGAAACATCTGGGAGACATACTGCTCTCATTCTTACTCTTACCAATGCCAAAATGTTCTTCAGTCATACAAATTAACTCCCTTTTTACGACCCTAATTTCACCATTGAAGCATTATGGGCTTAAATACTGGGGTTTATTTATCTTTGTCTAGGGATCAAACAAAGTGGCACTATATTTACTTCTGTTTCTAGTCCCTTAATTATGACTCTAAATCCCCCCAAAAACAATGCCAAGTATTGGAATATGTTTCTTTAAAATGCAGTTTTTCATAAAAAACCCTTAGTTCAATGAATACCATTTTCAATTAAAATATTAAGTAACAGGTCCTACAGAAGATTGTTATCTGAGGGACCCTTGTAAGCCATTCACCTTTCAACTAATTGTTGATGGGCAAGGTAGATAACTATTCAAAGCTGTTAAGCCAGGTTCCCATGTTTCATAGTTTTGCCAAAAGTTTACTGGGCTTAAATAATGTACTGATCTTATTTGTAAACCAAACATCAAAAGCTGGTAACAGAAATTTAGCACCTACACCTTTAGTATTTTTATCATGCTTATTCTAAAACAACCTAAACAACTTAAATACCCATAAAAGAGGTTTACTGTTATCCAAGAAAAATGTTTTATTACAATTCTTTTGCCTCTGAGAGATTCAATTAATGGTTCATCTTAAATGGATGAAATTTTCACGACCATAAAATGACTGACTTATAGCCTCTTTCAATGTCAATGTGGCATAATATATGAAAATGAACAAATACCTAAAGTTAATGCTTTCTTTAAACATAGATTCATTTAATCTGTACTTACCAATAGGTTTTCCAATTATATCTCTTTCTGAAGCAATACTCTTTGCTTTTAGTAGATTAATGGTAGTTTGCCCTAGTTCTTCAATCAAAAGTCTTTTTTCGACAGAAAGTTTATTTAACGTATGCTCTATAAAAATCAGATCAATAATGACATATATGTTGAAAAAGCTGCACTAAACACTAAGCTGTAGTTAACTGCTCTATTATATTCATTCATTCATTACATTTCTATAACTATCAAATTCAATCAAGTGATTCTGAGTAACTTAAGTTTCTGTATTTATATTCATAATATTTACAGTATTTATTAATCTATAGTTCTCATTTGAGAATTATGTGTTATAAAAGTACTGCACAATAATAATAATTTAATTTAATTTAATACTATAAGCATTATTTAATTTTGCTTATAGAACTAAAAAAGCCAAATATTGTAGCCTTTTCTCATATAGTGAGGGAAAAAATTATTTGATCCCCTGCTGATTTTGTATGGTTTGCCCACTGACAAAGAAATGAGCAGCCTGTAATTTTAATGGTAGATTTATTTTAACAGTGAGACCCAGAATAACAACAACAAAAAAATCCAGACATTTCAAAATTTTCAAAAATTTACAAACTGATTTGCATTTTAATGACTGAAATAAGTCTTTGATCCCTTCACAAAACATGACTTGCTTGGTGGCAAAACCCTTACTGGCAATCACAGGGGTCAGACGTTTCTTGTAGTTGGCCACCAGATTTGCACACATCTCAGGAGGGATTTTGTCCCAATCCTCTTTGCAGATCCTCTCCAAGTCATTAAGGTTTCGAGGCTGACATTTGGCAGCTCGAACCTTCAGCTCCCTCCATAGATTTTCTATGGGATTAATGTCGGGAGACTGGCTAGGCCCCTCCAGGATCTTAATGTGCTTCTTTTTGAGCAACTCCTTTGTTACCTGGCCATGTGTTTTGGGTCATCATCATGCTGGAATACCAATCTACGACCCATTTTCAATGCCCTGGATGAAGAAAGAGGTTCTCACCCAAGATTTGACGGTACATGGCCCTGTCCATCATCCCTTTGATGTGGTGAAGTTGTCCTATCCCAGTGGTGGCAAACCTTTTTATGACCGAGTGCCCAAACTGCAATCCAAAACCCACTTATGCATCGCCGAGTGCCAGGGTGTAGCCAGAGTGGACATGGCCACAGAATGGGTGTGGCTATGGTAGTCATGGTAGCATGGGTAGGCGTGGCCTGGGCGTGGCCACCTCAATGTTGCTCATGGGGAGGGACACCTCTGGGGGCCGGACAGGGTTGGGGGAGATCCAAGAGGTCTCTGGCAGGTGGGATGGTGGGCAGGAGGCTTGTCCTGCAGGGTAAGGTGAAGCAAGGCAAGGTGAGGCTGGGGGCAGGACAGGGGTGCCATTGCTGTGAGGCAGGAGCTGGGGTGGCTGCTGCATGACACCATCGGCCCCCACACACAGCGAGCGCATGGGGGCCAACAGCAGCACAACCTGCCCATCCCTCAACTGGTGCACTCTGGGGCTCTGCAGCCCACTGCCAATACCAGGTCAGCCCTCCAGCAGCAGGCACAGTAGGGGAAAGGGGAGGCATGTGATGCAGACCGCCAGATGTGCCTACTCCGTCCCATCTATTTTTGCTTGCGGTTGGAGAGCAAGTTGCTGCTGGCCATCTCCTTGCCCCCTCACAGATCTTGCCCTTAGCTCGCATGTGGAGCCTGTTCTCCTCGCATACCCGACGCACTTTAGCCCCGCCTCAGGCCACTGTGGCTAGCAGCTCATGCAGGTCCATTAGGCTACCACCACTGCCTGGAGCACCTGGCCCGCCCAGTACAAAGAAGGTGAAATGGCTGGCTAGCAAGCTCAAGTAGAGGTAGTAGAGCACGCCCATGCCCAGCAAACCAAAGGCTACCCCAAGCGGGGAAAGCCGGATCTCCATCAGTGTCATGGCCCCCCAGTCCCAGCTAGGCTTGTGTGCCTCTCTGCTGGCCCTGGGTGGCCATGACACCGATGGGGATCCAGCTTTCCCTGATTGGGGTAGTCTTTTGCCTGCTGGCCCTGGGTGTGCTGTACCACCTCTAAGCCTAAGCGGGGCTTCCTAGCTGACTTCTTCATCTCCTTTGTGCTGGGTGATGGCCTAATGGATCTGCGCAAGTAGCTGGCAGCTGTGGTAGGTACTGAGGTGTGCGGGGAGGGGGGGGAGTGGAGAAAAAAACCCTGATCCCACGTAAAGTGGATTATTTTCTCTGCCATACTTTTAAAACTCTCTTTAAAGTTTACTTACTGCAGAATGTGGATCCTTCCCATTCTGCTGCATCAAGCAAAACCGTCTGGGAGCTAAAACGCCCCTCCCCATCCCACGTAAGGAGGCTTCTCTCCTCTCTCCTTGTCTTTTTGCTCCCAAACAGTCTGGCAGGGAACAGCCAAAGGGAGTGGAGAAAAAAAACCTGATCCCATATAAGAGGCAGGATTTTCTCTGCCATACTTTTAAAACTCTCTTTAAAGTTTACTTACTGCATGAAGCATTCTGCTCCCCCTCGTATGGAGCGTTCTGCTCCCGCAGTCCCAACCCTCGCAGGGAGCGTCCTGCTCCCGTCGACCCAACCCCGCATAGAGTGTTCTCCCGCCGCCCCAACCCCCACACGGAGCATTCTCCTGCCGCCCCAACCCCTGCACGGAGCGTTCTCCTGCCGCTCCAACCCTCACATGGAGAATCCTCCTCCCACCGCCCCAACCCTCACATGGACCGTTCTCCCGTCGATCCAACCTTCGCAGAGCACCCTTTCACACTCCGCTTGCAAGGCCCTATCCACTGTCTCTTTTGATTTCCCTTCTTGCCGCCGGATATTTCTATGAAGATATTTCTATTCCTATGAGTCAGAGCTTTGGGTGAAGATCAGCCGCCTGTGCCCACCAGGCCCGCCTACCAAGCCCGCTGCCCCACACTGACCATGACCGCCGGCCAGGACTGCCTCTCCTGCGACTTCCCCCACGGTTGGGACACAGCCAAGTTTGTTGCCGACGGCACCTACAGGTTGTCCGCCAAACGCAGCTCATCCCATGGAGGGACAAGCTCCTCCTCCTCTGTGAGGCCCTGCCCTGCCTGCCTGTAAGCGAGGCATGTCTGCACTGCTGTTCCGGGGAGGTGGCACCTCCCCCAAATGGCTCCAGGTTGGCTGGTGTTGGCGAAATTTTAGTGACCATGTGTGCTGGGGTGATGGCGCATGCCCACAGAGAGGGCTCCGCATGCCGTTTCTGGCACGCGTGCCATAAGTTCGCCACCACTGTCCTATCCCCTTAGCAGAAAAACACCCCTAAAGCATAATGTTTCAACCTCCATGTTTGATGGTGGAAATGGTGTTTCTTGGGGTCATAGGCAGCATTTCTCCTTCTCCAAACACAGCGAGTTAAGTTATTGCCAAAGAGCTAAATTTTGGTCTCATCTGATCACAACACTTTCACCCAGTTCTCCTCCGAATCATTCAGATCTTCACTGGCAAACTTCAGACAGTCCTTTACATGTGCTTTTTTGAGGAGGGGGACCTTGTGGCACTGCAGGATTTCAGTCCTTCATGGCGCAGTGTATTACCAATTGTTTTCTTGGTGACTATGGTCCCAGTTCCCTTGGGATCATTGATACAATCCTCCTGTGTAGTTTTGGGTTGATTCCTCACTGTTTTCATGATCATTGAAACTCCACGAGGTGAGATCTTGCATAGAGCCCCAGACCGAGGGAAACTGACAGTTATTTTGTGCTTCTTCCATTTGTGCATAATTGCACCAACTGTTGTCACTTTCTCACCAAACTGCTTGGCGATAGTCTTGTAGCCCATTCCAGCTTGTGTAGGTCTACAATCTTGTCCCTGACATCCTTGGACAGTTCTTTGGTCTTGGTCATGGTGGAGAGTTTGGAATCTTATTGACTGATTGCTTCTGTGAATGCAGGTAGCAAGCTGATATTAGGAGCATTCCCTTTAAGAGAGTGCTCCTAATCTCAGCTTGTTACCTGTATAAAAGACACCTGGGAGCCAGAAATCTTGCTGATTGATAGGGGATCAAGTACTTATTTCACTCATTAAAATGCAAATCAATTTATAACTTTTTTGAAATGTGGTTTTCTGGTGTTTTTTTTGTTTGTTTGTTTGTTATTCTGTCTCTCACTGTTAAAATAAACCTACCATTAAAATTAGAGACTGATCATTTCTTTGTCAGCAGACAAACATACAAAATCAGTAGGGGGTCAAATAATTTTTCTTCCTCATTGTAGGGCAGATATACTTACCTTGATGTAAGTATATTCTTGATTTAGCCTTATATAAGCTTCCATTTGGATTTATTTTTTTCAAGCTCCCATTGCTTAAAAATGATCCTATACTTAGATCTCTCTGAGTTTGGTTGTTTTCTTGCATTTCATTACCCAAACATCATCAGTTCTTTCAACCTCTCAGTTCAACTCTGAGCTGCAAATATTCTTTTATTGATATGTAGATCTCCTTGAATTTGGAATAATACTCCAGTTCTTACTGCCTTCTTTAAATATTGTTTTGCATCAAAATTTTATTCAATAGTGGGAAATAATTAAAAAAAGAGCTATGGAGGTTTTTTTAAAAAATAAATAAATAAATAAAGAAGTAACATTTGAAATTGATTAATACACACCTGCCTCTGGCTGGGCAGCTGCAGAAGCTGAAGCTTCATCTAGTTCTTTCTGAACAGATTCAAGCTTTGCCAATATTTCTTCTCTTTTTCCAGATAATTCATATAATTCTCTTTCTGTAACATGTTAATATTTCAAAAAACACATCAAAGTTATTATTACTTTTAAGTTGCATTAAATATTAAAGCAGCTCTTGAATTTCCAGAGGATGTGAAGGATGAGACAGCCAGAGTTTACATGAGCTATTGAGTTTATCCGCTTTTGGAGCAAACATCTAATATAGGGGTAGTTAACCTTTTTATACCTACCGCCCACTTTTGTATCTCTGTTAGTAGTAAAATTTTCTAACCACCCACCGGTGGTTAGTAATGGTGATTTATAAAGTAGGGAAGTAACTTTACTTTATAAAATTTATAAAGCAGAGTTATAGCAAGTTAAAGCATATAATAATATTACTTACCAAATACTTTATGTCGGACTTTCGCTAAGTTTGGCAGAATAAATCTTTATAAAACAACTTATTGTAGTTAAATCTATCTTTTTATTTATACTTTGCATACATAGAAGCATGAAGTCTGATGAAATTACATTTAATTAATTAAATTATTAATGAGATCCCTGAGGCTGAGGCTGAGAAACTAAATACTGGATATCTGGCTCATTTTTTGTAAGGAACAACAAAGGTCTCCTCTTTCGGAAATATTCAGGCAGTTTCTTTCTTTGGTCATAATATGATTAACACCACCAAAGCCTGATTCCACAAGATATGAGGTAGAGAAAGGTATCAATAAACTGAATATCATTTTCCATATATTTGGATATAAGACAGGCATTTTTTTTTACTTTGCCATAGGTTTTCATATCCACCACTATCGAATTTATGTTTACTTTCTTCATCATATCTAATTTCTAATAGTTCTTCTTGGCGAGTCGTATCAGCCTCTTCAATATTTGTAGTAAAAGGATTTTTCATCCAGTCATACACCTTCAATTTCAAAATATCTTCATTTCAAATCATTTTTCCATGTCGAATTTAAGTTCATTGAGGTGGCTATTGAATCTGTCAATATCCTCTGGAGTTACATCATCTTTTATAGATGATAATTCAGGAAACTGATGAAATTCTCTCTTCAATAGATTATAAGTAGTTTAAGATTGTCAATAAATAACGACACAATACTTTGGCAACCTATAAGAGTTTTATTTGCTCCTTGAAGCTGCAAATTGACATCATGAAATCTCTTGAAAATATCTGCCAAATAAAAGGCATCATTCTTTACTGTTTTTAACTGTTGACACAGATTGGTCTCATTATTACTTTCAAAAAATTGTATGACACTATCATATAATGCTACAAAACAAGCCAAAGATGTACCCTTTGACAGCCACCGAACTTCTGTGTGCAAAAGTAACGTAATAAAATCATTATTGTCCTGGCAAAGCTGTCAAAACATTCTATCATTTTTTGCATTGGATTTGATCTTGTTTATGGCTCGAATTATTATAGTTAATGATGAATGGAGACTTGTACTTAGATGTTTTCCTACAAGATGTTGTCTGTGCACCACACAATGAATACATAAAACATTTGGCACTTCTTCCTTCAAATAAGCAACAAATCCACGATAGCGACCTATCATTGATGGTGCTCCATCAGTAGCGCATGCAACAATATTATTCAAAGGAATATTATTTTTTGTAAAGTATGATTTCACAGTATTAAATATAATCCTCTTGTATCTATAATGAGATTTATTACGAATAGCATTTCTTCTCGTAATATATTGTTTTCATCAAAATAACGTACATATGCCATCAATGAAGCATTATTATCTGCAATGGTAGACTCGTCCAATTGCATGGAAAATGAAGAGTTTTGAAGAATACTTATCAGGTTTTTTTCAACATTAACTGCCATTTCTTCAATTCGTCGTTTTACTGTGCTATCACTTAAGGGCAACGTTTTTAAAATTTCAGATATATCCTGATGCATTACTGTTGAGATAAATTCTTTTATAGAGGTATTATTACAGTTTCTCCAATATTATAGCTTTTACCACTTTTTGCAATTAATTGTGAAATGCGATAAGCGGCAATTAATCCATCTGCATTCGCTGCATGTTGTTTCTTTAATGATGCAACGATTGTTGAACGATTTTGAAATTTTTTATATGTTTCCATTGGGCTTGTCCTTATCATTTGGATGCTTTGTAGAAAGATGTTCTCGCAATCGACTTGGCTTCATTGCCTCATTGGATAATGTTTTATGACACAATAAACACATTGGGTGTTGTTTATTTACAACAGATTCTATGAAACCCATCTTCAGATACTTTGCAAATAGCCACAAGCGTATTTCTTTTTTTGAGACATGGACTCACAATATTTTGAAGCTGTAGGCACGTGCTCACTCTCATAAATCTAACTGCATACTGACCAGTGCGACCGCAAACAAAAAAGCCTGCGCCATGTATCGTTGTCTGCGCATGCCTCTCGCGCATCGTGGATTGGGTTTGGGGGGCTGCTGGCTACCAGCTCTGCTTGTCTGTTACAGCTGGGTAGTGTGGGGGGAGATGCGCGAGCTATTCTGAGATGAGGCTCTTTTGTTTGCAGTCACATTATAGCGCCATTTAGTTTCACTTACATAACATGAACTAAACTTATTCACGGGTGATACAAATAGTATATTTTCAGAAATTTAAATTGTCACGGGGAATTTTATAAAAACCTAATGAAAATGTTTTTAAATAATGCTATGAAATTTTTTTTAAAAGTCAATTAAATTAAAAAAAGGAAAGTGCTTCAATATTGGAAAAAACCCCTACTGCCCATCATGAAAACTGGAACGCCCACTAGTGGGCAGTAGGGACCAGGTTGACTACCACTGATCTAACACTAACTATATATGAAATTTTATTTTGGGTTGTTCAGAAGGAAGGCAAAATAAATAGAAATAGAAAGCCTTGTAAATTATCTATAACTGTTGGAAATAAAGCTAACTGAAGTACTACATCAGTGTATCTGAAGATTACACCACTTCTTTAACATTCAATTTGAAGATTACAACTGAACATAAAGAAATCCGAAGATTGTGAAATTTGCTGTTTAAACTAGAATGTGTTCCAGGAATATTACAAAGCAAGAGTTTGCCATTTCAATCTATATTTTTAAGTAATAGCCCTCTTTGTAGTGCTTCTCTAAGGTCTTACTGAAAGCTGTTCATAAACTCAGCTGATGAAGGAAAAGACTCAGGTGTGAAAACAATGGTCCTAGCTAGAAATATCTACAAAAAAGAAGAGTTATGCCCAGTAATTGAAGATGATAATATATACATTAAATCTCAAAAGCAGTAAAAAGTATCAACTTTTTTCTCCAGGGGTGTATCTCCAGTAAACTCTGGTGACCAGGGCAGTGACACACAAAAAAAAAGGAAAGTAAAATAACATATCATGTGAATCATCTTTTCATCCGTATCAATCTTAGAGAGATTATTACCAATATCAGAGATAAGAGAACCTCCAAAATTCTAAATATTGCTGAGGAAATAGCTATTATTGAGAGACAGCTAAACTCAGAAAAACTACAGAAAAATTACAGAAAAACTCATGGATAATAGCATAATTGTGATACAATCATGTACAATAAGAAATTAATTTGTAACAAAGTCCCTTTAATCCTTTCCAACCTCTTGGCTTGGGAATCCTTATTCAGAAATGAAACAAACTATTTGAGGGGTTCAAAGGATTTCTCTTAGCAAAAGATTATATAAACTTTGGGAGAACAACATGAGGCTTTTAACAGATTTACCATTAAGTGTTCATCTGATTTAGTACTACTGGAAGAATTTTTATCTACTTTAAATGATCAATCGATGATCCATATCAAATTATTCTCAAGTGAAGAACTTCCTTTGGAACCAAACTTCAGAAAAACATAGTATTTAATGATAATTCACTAACACACAACCATTCTCAAATTCAGACTCATTTTATAAACAATAAAAGAATATTCCAATGGATATTTTTGCATTTCATCAGGAGAAAGACAAGAGCAACATAATAAAAAAAACACTAATCTTCTTAGATTCGGGCTTTCTTGTACAAGGTTTTGCAAGATATGAATTTCTCAGAAAGCACAGTTGCAAAAGGCAAAGGTGAAGAGACTGACTGTTCTGTATTCTGATTCTAAGGAAACCAATTGTTATCCTTTGCTGACATCTGGTGGCTTGACATGATCTTATCAGCAGCAACTATAATCCATGAGTTCCCCTGATAGATCTGGTAAAACAATGGTTCTCAACCTTTTTAATGTCGCGACCCCCAACCGGTCGTAAGTCGAGGACTACTCAACTGGTGCAGCACCATTTGCAGAATGGGACTTTTGGCAGGCTCAGCAGGGCAGAGACAGCCTGGATAATTCCTATTGGCTTTTGAAAGCCAATAGAATTAGACTCTATTCAAGAGAGTCTATTCTATTGGCTTTCAAAAGCCAATAGAATAAAAGGGAGTAGCACAGCTAAGGAAAAAGGGAAAAAAATGGCGGACTGCGTTGTTTGGCGACCCCCATGAAATGGTCGTTCGACCCCAAATGGGGACCCGACCCACAGGTTGAGAACCACTGTGGTAGAAGGAGAAGGTGGCTGGCTAAGAACTGACCACAGGATAGCTTTTGTTCAGGGACAACTACTCTCCTTCATTTTATTAAGCTGGCAATAGAGATGATTGGGAAAGGGGTTTATTCCTTTGCTCCTTCTATACATTTATATCTTCAGATTCTTCGCACTGCTTATTGGGAAAAGTCCCAATGCAGGAGGTCACATAGCTCTCTGAGTCAATAACTTTCAATCACATTATTATTATTTCAATATTTTTATTGACCTGTTAAGCTTGTTTCCTGCTTTCTTTTCAGTTTCTACTATTGTTAAACAGAGCAAAAGCAAAAGAGGAAAAGAATGGGAAGATAAACAATAGGCCTTTTAAATTGCAAAATATTTATTTACTTACTTACTTACTTACTTACTTACTTACTTACTTACTTACTTACTTACTTATTTGCTTGCCACTATCTCACTATGGGGCTATTCTAGGAGGCTTACAACAGTACAACATAAAATTGTAAGAAATATAACTATAACAATAGTAAAAAAAATTAAACAATAACAATAATGAAAATACAGCAATATAAGTTAAAAAATAGGTAGGGACGGAATAGGATGATTGGGGGGCAGGAATAGGGGTCTATTATTAGTTAATAGCCATTTCCCTATGGAGAATTACCTTTAGAAGCAGGTTAAATATTGAGGTGAAAAGGGAGAAAAGGATGAGTAAGTTTTCCAATTACTATTTGTTTTAATGAGAAAAGACAAAACGCTCTTGGACATGGTCAAGGAATTAAATCAATGAGGTTTCATCAAGAGAGGGAAGAACAATTCTATGTCACTTGATTTTCCATCTGTACAGTTCAGATGGTGTGTATGTTATTCCCAAATGATCAGTTTCAATTCAGAAGCAGTACATGCTTAATAAATCCTTGTAAAATTCACAATATAATTTATTTTCTACTTACCATCAGGATACACAATAGAAACACCTTCAGAAGTAAGTTTTTGTATTTCATGTGTAATTGTCTCTAGATTTGCCATGAGAGATCTTCTTTGCTTATTTAACTCCTGTAGTTTATAATCTAGAAATATTATATATAACTTCATAAAAATAATATAGTTTTAAATCAATCTATTATACTTTATCACAATTTGTATCAATATATGTAAATGATATTTGCTTTTAGTTCAGTGATTATTTCATCTGTGATGGATGCTTTTCTGTTTGACAGGTTTTAACATCTCTTACAAGTGAAGTTAGTTACTAAATATTTTTTTATTTCTAAATGTTTCTGATATTGTAGAATCTCATTTGTAAAGGTTTTCAATATAATTTTTCTGTTTTCCTTCAAACCTTTTCAACATTTGAATATTGCTATCTTAATAATACATTTTCCTTTAATTTTTCTGGATATCGTTCATTTTCTTTTTTGTGTTACATTTCTGTCATTCTGTCCTTGGCCTTTCTTGTTTCATTATGGTAGTCTGCATTCAATCAACATGCATCCTTGTTACCCATCTTCTTTCTTTTTTTACTGCCTCATACAATTGCTTAGAAAACTGTTTGAATCTTTGAAATTTTGGAAATATTTTTTCTGCTTTAATTTTCTATACATGGTTAATGTTCATCTGTATGTAACTTTCATGAACTACATCTGTTCTTTAAATGTATTTCATTGATGATTATTCTGATTACATCTGTACTGATTTATTTAAATCTCTTTCAGCTATAAGACCATCAAATCGCATGTGACTCAAGTTTAACTATGTATTATTACCATCCGGTAATAGGGAGTTCATATATTCCAATTTAAGAATCTTAATTTTTGCTTTGACAAATTCTGGTTTTCCTTGGGATCACGTTTTTTAAGCTCCAGGTACCCACTGTATATATCTGATTCTACATGTCCTTACAAAACATGAAGCCTTTATTTCCCTGTAGGCATCACAAGTGACCAGATTTTCAGTGGTTTTGATCTAGCCAGGAATGCTCCAATGCAATTTAGATTCTCCCCAAGAGGCCATCTGATATATGTCATTCTGAATAAGAGAAGAGGTCAAACAGCACTGTGTCTTAGACTCTCTTTTATTCAGTCTTTTTGTAAATGATTCTCTATTAATTTTTGTTCTGGACCATGAAGGTCTCTGTGTTAGAATGTTTGGCATTTATTGGGTTAAGTGCTGTCTCCTTAAGAAATGGGTTATGGGTAATGTAGTTTAGCTAGTAAGCTATCCCATGTTAATAGCTCAATAGTAGGAGGAAAAGAGGAGCCACTAAAGTTCATCACAGGATATCCTGGCCACGAGCCAGTTTGGAATGTTCTTTGTCTGAGATAAGCATGGGGCCATCGGATGTCTCAGATGGCTCCACTCCACATAAGAAGTTGGTGTGGAGAAGTTAATGAATTTACCTAATGAAGATGAACAGATTACAATATATAGACGGAATCTACAACTAGCAAGTATTGTTTTCTGACTGAATAAATTATCTATTTTGGAATCATCTTTATTTGAGTTTAATCTGTCTGTTATTGGATTAGAAAGGCATTTTTATTCATGATCAGAACAGTAAATTCATGGCTTTATCTTCACATCTGACTCTAGAGCGAGAAAAGTAAAATCAATATATCTGCCTTCATATTAACTTCAGCTTTAAAGGAAGTGCTCTGCTTGTCAGCCAGCGTTTCAAAGGGAAGGTGTTATTTGGATGAAACCTCCCTCCCCCAAGCGTTTCTGTCTGATGCATTGTATTGCTAATTTCCTTGCAAGCAAAGACTGCCTCTAAAGTTCAGAGAAAAGCTTGGAACGGGTGATGACCCCCTCTTATTTATTCTCTATGTTTGTTTAAACAGAGTGAAACATGGAAGCTGTGTCTTTACGCAAGCCAAAGAGAGAGATTGGAATGCAACCAAGAGGCAGGCAATTAACTCTTAACTGCTTAAAAGGGGAAAAGGCAATGAGAGAATTGTTTGCTTGGAAAGCAAAGGCAGAGATTATTGTCTGTGTTGCTAAAACCAACGGAAAGGTGTCTGTGTTCAAACAGCTTGCTACGAAAATCGCTGATTTCCTTTCTGTTCTTGTTTCTGTGAACAGGCTAATTTGTTGCTAAGGGAAGTAATCAGGTTACCAAGGAGAGCAATAGAGCAATTAATCTTGTCAGCTAACTCAGCGCTGGTGAGAGAAGTCTAAATTACCCCCTCCCCTTAGAATTCCAGCTATGTCAATGGAAAGAGGTTTTCAGAGGCTCCAATAGCAGTGCAACAGCATCCCCTGGTGACCAATCTGCACACAACACTCATTCAGCAATTTTTATCCTTGCTGAAGGAAAGGTACCCCCCTAATTTGGTAACCGCATCAACCCAAGTTAAGAGCACCCCCTAGAGGGGATTGAAGGTACTTCACTGAATGCAATTTTCTGCAGAGTGAATCTGATAGTTGAAGAGCAAGTTATCTAAATTCATGCAAAGTTACCAACATCCCCTAGAGGGCACAGAGTGAACTTCACCCAAAGTAATCACTCACGCAAGCAGTCACCTCTAGTGGTGACTATGCTGAGGGCAAATTAAGGAGAAGAAAAGGCAGCAATTAACCTTGCTTATTATCACAAAGCTGACGACCAAGAGGATTTTAGAGTCCCAAGCAGTCTCCAGCTTGCAACTTAACGACCACGGTGGGAGTTACGGGAGCTAGCAAAGCTCAGTAATTTCCCAGATGGCCACTGAGGGTAACATGGTAGTAAAGAAGAATTATGGCTGGCCTCTCTCCAAATGCCCCCTAGTGGTTAAAGAAGGAACTACATGCAAGCCTTTCATCATGCACAGAGAAAGCCCTCTAGTGGACAAAGGGTGAATCTCGAAGGAAGAGCACCTTGGTAACTGACCCACAAGAAGTGAACCCTAGTGGTGAAAAGGTGAATTGTGCTGAAGTACCCATGAACACAGGAGAGCGCACCCAGTGGTGCCTCTACCCACAGACAGCACCCCAGTAGCTGATATGCAAGTAGCGACCCCTAGTGGTCAAAGAGAGACGTTCATCAAATTTTCTTCAAAATAGCTAGGAAGTTTACTGAACCTGTGCTAGCCTTGACAGAGTGTCCAATTGGTTTAGAAGAAGGGGTTCAACCAACCAACCTAGACACCCCAACCACTCAGCCAAGGAGAAATGCTGCAAACAGCCAGCCTTGATCTGTACACAGAGGCTGATGCTCAAGCCTCAGTAAGGCCAAAGACATCTCAGGTTCCCTATGACCTGAGGCAACAAAGAAAACCTACAGAAGCCATGCGGTCATATCTGACGGAAAGATGGCAGTCGTTCTACAACTGCCACGAGAGAACCTAGGAGAGATTACAGAGACTCTACCAAACACCCGAAGACGGGTTTCCTCCCGAATGCGCACCCTCATTAGAAGAGGATAAGGAAGACGCTTTCCCACAATGGACAGACTTCGCACGCCGTCTCAAAGAGATTCAGATGGAACTAGGAGACCCAACAGTCGATAGCGAGATGCAGAACCTCAAGCTAAAAAACAAGGAACGTAAGAAGTTTCTAGAGAGCTCCAAACAGCTCCCGGAACCCGGGTCCTACACAAAAGACAGATCGGTCGAGAGGGCCAAGTCTGAAGTTTCCCTCCATTCGCATGCACCATCCCGGCGATCACATATGGCTTCATCTCACGCCACTGGAAAAGCCTCACCCTTTTGCCACAACTCACCGCGAGCCCAGGTGTACTCCAGAGTGTCACAATAATCTCACCTGACAGGCGCCTCCCGCCATTCTGTCCTTGCAGTTTTGGATTTTCTTTCCTATATGATAATATCAGCAACTAAATGTCACAAAAGCTTTAATGTCCTTATTGTAAACAACATTAGTTCTCTGAAAGATCCTCATCTCTTCATCAGTAGCATGTTGAGTATAATCCAACCTGAAAGACCTATTACCTGGCATTATATCATCAATCATTTTATATTTTTTTACTCATGTGGGTTTTTTTTTATAAAAATACAGAAGTGGTGTACTGTCTTCTCTTGTGTATATTGAATTAATGTCTTTGTCTTTGTCACTAAAATGATTTTCCTCTGGCATCTTCCTGTATCTCTGCCACCCAATACAGGAGTCTACTTGCTTTAGCTGAGCAGTTGGGATGACTTTCCCATTTTGGGTAACCCTACTGATATATATATTTTTGACATATATTTCTTTTTTCACTCATCCTTCCCAGGAAAAACCCTCCCCCCCCCACACTGAGGCAGCACAGCAGATGGAAGGGAGGAAATCTGTTTCTTTAGACATTAAAAGCATTAGTTAAAGCTACTTAAAAGTTTTACCATTATCCACATTAATTTTTGTTTGCCTATTTCCTGAATGCTGAAAATGCAATTAGAAATAGTGAGGTACAAATATGGTCCCTACATAAGCAGGCTTATGAAACCCACTGTTTTCTTCCTCAGTATATAACTCTTTGCATCTCCTAACTCACAGATTCTCATTCCCAGATACCAAAACAAGATAATAAACCTTTATTGTGAAGTGCCTTGTTCAGTTTCCTGTATCTCTGTGGACCACAAAAAAAAAAACCCTCCTGAAATGATACCATTACAACCAGTATCTGAAATACTGAGACAGATAGACAGATGTATCACTGGTTCAACTAATATAAAGAGATTCCTATATTCCTAAATGTTTAATATTGTTATTCACATAATACAAAAACCCAGATATATACCACTGATACTGCCTGGCTGGACAGTTGCAAGATCCTGAGCATCCTGTAGTTCTTTTTCACTTGATTCCATCTTTTCCAGTAAATGCTGCTCCTTCATCAATAGCTCATGTAATTTTCTTTCTGGAAGCAGAAATATTTTTTTACTCATTTCTTGAGAAACATTTTAGAAGTCATGAATTTATGTATTATTTTAAACTGTGAATTATTATTAAGAGTAAAATAAACATAATGAACATTATAACACAGAACATACAAAACTTCTTAAAAACCAACAAGGCAGATTCCAATCATAATTATTAAAACATATTTAGACAAATTCACATATAGTGGGATGGTTGCTAAGCCTTAAAACTGCACACAATACATCAAGACATTTAATTCTTTTTTGTTTTCTTTTCTTTAAAAATAGTTTGTTATATTGTTCTGAAACATATATAATACTTATATTATTTTGAAAAATTGGTATTTATAGCATTGACTAGAGATTATTAATACTACAATGTTTAGATAACTAAAATCTTTAAAGATAAAAAATATTATAGCATTAACTATAATTTGAAATGTTGATATTAGGAATTATAAAATTATTTATATTTTACATCCAAAGCTGAATATAACTCTAACAAAATAACCTTTAATTTTGAAAACAGCACCAAATATGAATGTAGTTCATAGGCATTTTAAAACACTTGACTATTTTTCTGAGAAATCATTAGAGGGAAGAAATTACTATAAAAAGAAAATTTTGAAAAACAAAGAATAATAATTAGAATAAAAAATGGAGTGAGAAGGATATACACTAATTCCAGGTTTGTTTAAAGTATACACTGAGATTATAATAAGAATGTTATGGTTCAAAGAGAGATGATAACTAAATCAGGTATAAAACTATGCACTATTTGATGTATGTGAATAATAAAAATTCTCACAGATGACTTAGAGAATTGTCATCACCTCAAAATTCCACAAGAGCACTAACATTCGAGATATAGATATAACATTACCTAAATTAATTAAATGTAATTCTCCAACAGGAGCTGCACTGGTTTCTGATTTCCTTCTGGTCCAATTCAAGATGTTAGTTGTCACCTTTAAAGCCCTAAATGTAGTCTTCAATCTATGACCACAATTCAGCTCATAATTACTGTTCCTAAGTTGTTAAGTAAGTTTTGCCCTATTTTACAACCTTTCTCACCATGGATGCAAAATGAATTACTGCAATTGTTAAGTTAGTAACACAGTTAATAAGTGAATCTGACCTCACCATTGACTTCACCTGATAGAAAGTCACAAAAGGTGACTCTGCAACTGTCATAAATAGATGCCAGTTGCAAATGTTGATTATGTAACCATGGGGATGCTGCAACAGTATTAAGTGTGAAAACCGGTCACTTTTTCAATGCCGTTGTAACTTCAAATGGTCACTAAACAAATGGTTGTAAGTCAAGGATTACCTGTACATGGCTTGGGACCATAGGTTATTTGAAGGCCCCTCCTTCCCCAGTCACAGCTACCTGACTTAGCATAGTTGACAGGCAGACAATGCTATGGGTTCTTTTTCCTAAAGAGAAGGGACTTTTGTGTGATGGCTTCCTCCCTATGGAACATCTTTTCCATAGAGATAAGATTGGCCCCTACTATGACACTCTTTGCAAGGCCCTGAAGACCTGGTTTTGCCAACAGGCCTAAGGAACCTACAGTGAGATGGAGCCATCAAGTGGTTTATTTGATTGACTGTTGTTGTGAGGGGAGTAGAGGGTTATTACTTTTTATTGTTTTTAATTTTGGATTTTTATCTTTGTAAGCTGCCTGGAGTCACTGAAAGTAAGTTGGGTGGCCATATAATTTTTATTAAATAAATAAGTAAAGAAGGTAAGAAGGCAATGACATAGATCTCCTACAGGAATAAGCTTCTCTATCAAACAAAATAACGAAAGATGAGAATTGGCTATGTTAATCAAAATGAGAATCATTACAGTAGTAGTGGACTTTGTGAAAGATGGCCACTCAAACATGGATCTGAAATTAATACTAAAAAAAGTAGAAATCAGTAATTCATGACTATCTTAAGATGATTACTCCCCCACTAAAAGAAAAGATTAGCCAGCACAAACTCACATCTTTTGGACATTTCATGCAAGACGATGATGAACCAAAAAAATCATTACGCTTGATATCTAGCTGGATGAATGGGATTATAGGAATTTATAATGGTATCTTTGAAAGAATTATAATATATGTAAGATATTCCAGGAGATAAATTTTTCATGAAGTTCACCAGAAGATGACAGATAATTTATCAACTTAACTAAAGAATCTAAATGTAAATCTGGGAATCTAACAAACTAACTTTTAAACCCAGATTTACTGACTGGAAACACAAACATAAGACTTACCCAGACAGAAACATGAACATCTGTTCATATCCAGAATATGAGTTAAACCAAATGAAGATATTCATTATTACTTATATAGTGTTTCATTACAGCTGAAAGGCTACTATGATGACCCTCCCTCTAATAAAAGATCTGCAGCAAGGTACATCAGAAAATGTGATTAAGACCAGATACATTTTCATAATAGTAAAACCTGAAGAATACAGGTAGTTCTGGCTTGATAATGGTAATGCAACTCCACCACTAAGCAACATGGTCATAAAACCTGACACATGTGGCCATGTCAACTTACCACGGCTTGCTGCAATTCCAGTTGCCATCATTAGGTGAATCCATGCAGTTGCAGTGTCCCACTGTCTCATGATCACCATTTGTGACTTCCTGCCAGTTTCCATATTGACTTTGCTTGTTGGAAGCTAGCAATAGATGTTGTTGATTGAGATGGTGTGACTGTAAGATGCTACAGCCATTGTAATTGCAAGCTGGTTGCAAAGAAGCCAAATAATGATCACATGACCATGGTGATTGTTGAGTCCGTGGCGGGAAGCAGACACGAGAAGCAGTTGAAGTTCTCAGTTTTCTTTATTCTGCGTTCAGCTTACAAGTAGATGGCTTCAGCAGCTCCCAAAACCTCCCAACTTCTTATATAGACATTTCCCGGGTAAATGCGATACTTTTCCCGTGCCAGCACCCGCGCATGCGCACGGCGCTGGCAACAGCCTGTCTGGTCCCGGGCAGCTTTGCACCTGCTCGGGACTGCCTGCAAACGCCCGAGCCGTTTGCAAGGCTCGGGACATAACACCCCTTTCCCCCGGGCTAAAACTACTACCAACATATAATCATTTATTTTATGCAGTGTTCTGCTTCTCAGTGCTCCTATCGTTACCTGGCTTTTGTTTAGCCAGCAATGTTATGTAATCCTCTAAGTATTTAGGAGACTTCTTTGCTCTCTGTGACCTTCTCAGCTCTGGTTTACTAGCATGAGTTCCCTGACTGGAGGGAGATGTGAGCCTGTTCTCCTTATTTTGCCTTGGTGCCTTCCAAGGACTGTGCCCCGCTGCCTGGCCTGCTTGCTCGCCCACCGGGCTCGTCAGGCCAGGGCTTCTGTCACTTTGTGACCTGGTTGACCTGCCTAGCTGTAGACCCTCGGGCCCCTTGAAGTGATAGCCACTGCTGGGCGTCTCTGTTGAACCTCCTAGGTCCGTCCAAGACCTGTCAGGAGGCTGTCCATTCCCTGAACCCCGTTCTGTGTCCGGGCTTGTGTGGGTTTCTGTACTTTCCCAAAACTCAGTTACTCCCTGATTTGGGCTAGAGGTGTTGTAGTCGGGACTTGGTTCCTCGACCACCTCCCTGTATGTTTGACCCCCTGTAGGATTTGGGGTAAGGTCAGGCCAACCTTGGGAATTGTGTGCCAGCTCTCTTGCGGGGAATGATTTGTTGGGATGCCCCCGGGTATCCTCCGTGACTGGAGTGCTGTGTGATGTGTGTGGAAAGTGAGTATGCCCCCGGGGTGACTCCCTGGCTGGAGTAGGCGTGGATGCCTGGTAATTAGGTAGGCTCATAGAATTCTTGTTCGGAGCTCTCGCGGAACCCTGGGATGGGCCGTTTGTAGCTCCATCAGTGGAGATGGGCAGCAGCTCGTGCCCTTCCCTTTGCTCCAAAGGGTCCCCCTCCCCCCCTGGAAAAGACCCAGGAGTCTCATCTGAAAAGTCCCACCGAGGGCGGAGTTGGTCGATGTGCCGACGCAGGACACGACCGTTGTCCAGGGCTACCTCGTAGGAGAGAGGACCTGTGACCCTGGAAATAGAAGCGGGGACCCATGTATGACCAGGCCCGTAATTGCGAGCCCAAACCGGGGCACCCACAAGTAGTTGTCTAGGTGCCCTAGGATGTGAGGTAGATGAAGGCAGTCTGTCCGGATGCAACCGGTCAAGTTTAGTAGTAAGTTGACGCCCCCAACGAAGTTCAGCTGGGCTTCTCCCTGTAGAAGTGGACGGGTGGTGCGATAAGAAAGGAGAAAGTCAGCCAACCTGTGATGCCAGTCCCCGTAGGTGAGTCTTTTCAATGCGTCCTTTGTGATGCGCACCATACGTTCAGCCATACCGTTGGTGGATGGGTGGAAGGGTGCAGACGTGGCATGACGAATCATGTTTGCCTGTAAGAAAGCTTGGAATTCGGAGGAAGTGAATTGAGGGCCGTTGTCGGACACAATGACATCTGGCAGCCCGTGTGCAGCAAAAATCCCCCTCAGTACCTGAATAGTCTTTGCAGTGGTGGTGGATGAGACAGGTACAACCTCAAGCCATTTCGAATGGCTGTCAACAAGGACCAAGAAGAACTGGCCCTGAAAGGGTCCCAGCGTAGTCAATGTGCACCCTAGACCATGGGGACTGTGTTTCCTCCCATCTATGCACGGGAGCTTGGGGCATCTCTGGGCGAGATCGTTGGCACAGGTGGCATGCATGCACCTTAGCCTCAATATCTTTATCTAAACCAGGCCACCACAAGTGGCTGCGCGCAAGAGCCTTCATACGAACAATGCCAGGATGACCCTCGTGTAGGGATTCTAAGACCCTAGTCCTCATTGAGGTGGGAATGACAACTCTGTTTCCCCAAAGCAGACAACCCTGAGAAAGGGACAGTTCGTTCCTTTTGGACCAGAAACTCTGAAACTCAGGACTAGGGCAGTGCTCAGGCCAACCAGACAAAACCCAGGAACGGACACGTGAAAGTGTGTGCTCTATACCTGATTCAGCGGCAACATCCCTGGCACTAAGAGGGAGCTCGGGCAAGGCTTGGATTGATAGAATGTTGACAGCTGGCGCAGGGTCAGCTTCTACTACTGGCAGAGGCAATCTACTGAGGCCATCAGCATGGCCCATTTCTTTCCCAGGCTTGTGGAGTAAAGAAAAATCATATGCAGACAGAAAAATAGACCACCTAAGCATTCTAGGGGAAATGATTTGGGGAGTCTGCTTACGTGTGGTAAACAGTCCCAGCAGAGGCTTATGGTCAGTGAAGACCGTGAAGTGCCTGCCATATAGAAAGTCATGGAATTTTTTAATTCCAGCAACAACAGCCAGAGCCTCCCTGTCTATCTGAGCGTAGTTGCGCTCAGCAGAAGACAATGTTCTGGAGTAATATGCAACAGGAACCTGAGTTCCATCAGACCTGAGGTGGCTCAGGACAGCTCCAACCCCGTAAGGGGACGCATCACAAGCGATGCACACAGGAAGAGACTCGTTGAAATGTGCAAGTACACTGTTAGAAGTGAGCAAAGCCTTGACTTTGTTAAAACAACCCTCATGCGTTTGTGACCACTGCCACACTGCTTGCTTGTCTAGTAGCCTGTGAAGAGGCTCAGCTACACTAGCTTTTTGTGGAAGAAAAGAATTGTAGAAATTCAGGAGGCCCAGGAAGGCCTGAAGTTCGGCCTTGGACTTTGGCCTAGGTGCTTCTAAAATAGCAGTCAGTTTGGATTCAGCAGGGTGAATCCCAGCAGCATCAATTTTGAACCCCAGAAATTCAGTAGAAGGCACCCCAATCTGCATTTGTCTTTTTTGAGCTTGAGGCCTGATTTCCTGAATCTTAACAGAACAGCCTTAGCCTTTCAGCTAGAATGTGTGTGGAGTCTCCTGCAATTAAGACATCATCAAAGTAGGGGCAAACCCCCGGTATGCCCCGCAGTGTGTTTTCCATTACGCTTTGGAAAATCCCAGGAGCGACATTCACTCCAAACTGCAGCCTTTTTACCTTAAAGGCTCCCCTGTGGGTCACAATAGTCTGAGCTATAGCAGCATCATCATCAACAGGCAGCTGTTGATACGCTTGAGCTAGGTCAAGCTTTGCAAAAACGCACCCCCCCTTGAGGGAGGCCAGAATATGATTGACCACAGGAACAGGATAGGCATGTTGCTGCAATGCCTTATTCAGAGTGCATTTGTAGTCAGCACAAATGCGAATGTCCCCATTTGCCTTTAGAGGCGTGACAATGGGGGTCTCCCAAAGACTGGAATCAACAGGTTCTAGGATTCCCTGTTGGATCAGTTTGTCTAACTCAGTGTCAATTTTACTTTTTAAAGCAAAAGAGACCCTTCTTGCTTTAATTCTAATGGGAGTGACAGTGGGGTCTAGCTTTAAGGACACAGGGGGCCCTTTGAATGTGCCCAGCTGGGGGCTGAAAACATCTGCAAATTCTTTGCAGACTTCCTGTAGGTCGAGTGTTTGTAAACTGTTGAGTCCTGTGACGTGTATCCCCAGGGCCTCAAACCAATCGAGTCCTATGAGACTCGTTCGTTCACCCCCTACTACTAATAAGTCTAGTGGACCTTCAAAACTCTTGTATTGCACGTTAAGGGTGGCCTCCCCCTTAACACACACTCTTGAATTTTGAAAATCTGTTAACACAATGTCAGAAGGCCTTAACTTGGCCTGAGTTCCACTACCGGAACAAATCTTCCTAAATGTATGCAAGGAGATAATTGAAAAGGCAGACCCTGTGTCTAGTTCCATAGATAATGGAACCCCTTGTAGCTTCACCTTGAGTGACAGCTTTTTCTTAATGGGCTTGTGTGTGCCTGTCCTAAGGATGCTTCTTCGCGAAGCGCAAAACCCTACCCTATTCTGGCTGGGGAATCTGGTACCTTTCAGGCGCAGTTCTTCCTGAGGTTGTACCTTTCATCGGCCCAGACACACAGCTGCAATGTGTCCTTGTTTGCCGCATGCCCGGCAGGTAGCGGAGCGGAACTTGCAGTCGGTTCTCCTGTGGCGACCTCCACAGCCGATGCACTTGAGCGGAGCTGAAGAGCTTCCCTTCTGTTTTTCTTCCTTCGTGGGGTGGAGACGGTCGACTTCCTCGTCCGGATCCTCCTCGGAGTTTCTTTGGACGTCTTCCTGGTGCACGGATGCAACCTCTGGACTGTTTCTGATCGGCCGCATGTTCTTGACAGCGCCGCCTGCTGCTTCTTCTGCGGTGACTTCCCTTAAGGCATCTTGGTAGGACAATTCTTCTTTAGCGAAAAGTCTCTGTTGTAGATCTCGATGCCTTAACCCGCACACGAATCGGTCCCTCAGTCGTTCTTCGAGGTCTTTGAACTCGCAGTGCTTGGCGGCCTTCCGTAATGCGGCGATGAATTCTTTGGCCGACTCACCGGGCCGTTGATCCCTCTGCTCGAAGGTGTGGCGCCATGCGATGACGGACATCTTGGGGTGGAAGTGCTCCTTCAGTAGCTTCTTCAGATCTGCGTAGCTTACAGACTCTACTGGAACAGGTGCTACAAGGTTTTCTGCGATGTCGAAGGCGTCTTGGCCGCAAACACAAAGCAGGGTGGCAGCCTTCAAGCTCTCTTCCCTCACTTGGTTTGCCTTGAAGTAGTTCTCCACCCTGGCTACGTATGACTCCCACCGCTCTGGATGTGAGACGACGAATTCCGAAAGCCTTCTGATTTTTGCCATCTTCAGGAGACGGGTCTATCAGCCAGCCTACCCCCGAATGCGCACTGGATTGGCGGGTAGCTGCCGAGTCGACGCCGTTCCGCCGCTCAGGACTCACTTGGGTAAGCTTACACTTCTTCCTTTCCAGGCGGTGTAAGGCAATCCCACCTTCGTCGCCAGTGTTGAGTCCGTGGCGGGAAGCAGACACGAGAAGCAGTTGAAGTTCTCAGTTTTCTTTATTCTGCGTTCAGCTTACAAGTAGATGGCTTCAGCAGCTCCCAAAACCTCCCAACTTCTTATATAGACATTTCCCGGGTAAATGCAATACTTTTCCCGCGCCAGCACCCGCACATGCGCACGGCGCTGGCGACAGCCTGTCTGGTCCCGGGCAGCTTTGCACCTGCCCGGGACTGCCTGCAAACACCCGAGCCGTTTGCAAGGCTCGGGATATAACAGTGATGCTATAAAGCTGCAGCTCCAAAAACAGTCATTATCTATCTTTGTTCACTGCTAATGTAATTTTCAATAGTCACTGAACGAATGGGCATTCAATAAGGACTATCTATACCAGGGGTAGGCAACCTTGACTCTTTTATGACTCGTGGACTTCAACTCCCAGAATTCCTAAGCCAGCCATGCTGAGGAGAATTGGAGAGGTTGCCATGCTGAGCCATGCTGGCTCAGGAATTCTGGGAGTTGAAGTCCACGAGTCATAAAAGAGCCAAGGTTGCCTACCCCTCATGTATACGGTCCTCAGAACACATTGACAAAAGGCTTGATTAAGATACCAAAAATATAAATACCATAAAAACAAATAAATGTTAATGTACATACACTGGAATTATAAGTTATTTGGAATCTAAGCAGGAAGGAAAGGATTCTAATTGTCCTTCTCTCTCTGATAGGGTCACACTAATTGCTAGGTTTACAGTGACATAACAATATGTACAATCATATTTTATTTGTACTTACCAGAAGGTTGTATAAATGTAGTTCTTTCTGAATAATGATAACATACATTTTGTATATCATCTAAAGTGGCCTCCAGGTCAGTGGCCAAATGTCTTCTTTGCTCGGTTAATTCCTGCAACTTATGTCCTATACAACATAAAAATAGTTATAGTCATTAAAGTCATTTTAATATTATCTAGATTTCAAGATTCTGATGATGAGCATGTATCTTACTACAAGTTCCATTCATTTACAAAAAAATAAATTGTATAGCATTTTGCACATTGTGAAGTTGATGTTAAAACCATTAATGGTTTTTTCAGTTTGAGATGTGAATTGTACAGAGGCTTGTGGGTAAAAAAGCAAGTTGGTTCTTGAGAAATGATCAAGGCAGAGGGCAAAGGACTTGTCACAACCATTCTTCTGTTCATAATAATAACCAACAGTGAGAAACTGATAAAGCGGGCACAGCAGCGCCTGCATTTTCTGAGTCGCATGAGAAAAGCACATCTTCCTTCCCCTGTCCTGACCACTTTCTATAGGGGGACGAGCATCCTGTCATACAACATCACAGTCTGGTTTGGAAGCATCACTGCTTCAGATAGGAAGGCGGTGCAGAGAGTGATGAGAATGGCCAAAAAGATCATTGGCAGTCCCCTCCCTCCCATCCAGGACATAGCACAGAAGCACTGCTTGAGCAGGGTCCATAAGATTATCTGGGACACTACACATCCTCTTCACGACCTGTTTTCCTTGTTACCTTCTGGGAGGAGGCTTCGTGGTATCCGCAACAGAACATCCAGATTCAGCCAGAGTTTCATTCCATACAGCATTAACCTTGTGAACTCTCAAGCTTCCTCCTTCCATTATATATTCAAGATGGACAGTATTTAATATTTATTTGTTATGTATATGTAGAGATGTGGGTCTATACATATGTTGTATATAGTATGTTTTAGGTGTGTGTCATGTATGTGTTTCACTTTGAGAGTGGGCAACTAAATTTCATTTTTGATGTGTGCCTTTGTGCCCACAGTAAAAAAAAAAAGATAATAAAGGTTATCTCTTATCTCTTCATGTGATGCAGTTTACTTCATCCAATCCATCTGATGAAGTGTGTTTGTAGTATTACAGCTTTGGACTATCAAAGGCTAAAACGTATATTTAAATCTTCCAACCTGATGACTTCCAGACTACTACTTTACAGGCCTCACTGAAATAGTTGTAACACATTATAGTACTAAATAAAAGAATAATATTAGCAAGGATTATTGGTCGTCAAACACCTTTGTTCTATGCATCTTGCGTTCAACTATATGATTCCAAATATGTCTGTGTATATGTACACACACACAAAGATTTAAAAAGTAAAGAGAATACCACACATACCACTGATACTCTCTGGTTGAGTAGTTGCAAGTTCTTGAATTTCTTGTAGCTCTATCCAATTAGATTCCAGTGTTTCTAGTAACTGCTGTTTCTTCTTGGTTAGTTCTTGCAACTTATATAATTCTTTTTCTGCAAGCAAAATTTTCAAAATGATCTCTTTAGAGTTTCAATTAGCAATAATTTCTGCTAGTTAATGACCACAATGAATTTGAGCCTTTCGGAAATATTATCAAGCTTTTCATTGTTACATTACATTTTTATAACAAACAAAATTACAATATAACCTAATTTAAATTTCTAAAATCAACCTCCTAAACTGCAGATTTGGCTTGATATGTCCTAGTTTTTCAAAATTTCTCTCCATTTACTATATTTAACAACTTATCTGATTAAGAAGTTCTGAACTCAAAAGCTTACTACCTTGTGAATTGGAGTTTTTCGAAAGCAAAGAATAATTTATTAGGTGAAAGAAAAGACAAAAGAAAATTTTGTTTTATCAAATTAAAAGCAATATTAAAATGCCAATTTATCTTAACTACCAAGAAGATAAAGATAAAGACAAAACTTCATAATAGCTCTTTTGTTTTGTTTTTTACAGTTTGCTGGAAAAGTAAAGAAGGAGGAAAGCAACCACACACTTTGCTAAGATCACTTAGAGTGGTTGAATCACTAATTGGTGGGCATGCATATTGGGAGCTCACTTAACCTCTGCAATAGAAAAGGACCAACTAAATTGGGTGATGGATCCAGATTTAACAGAATAACAGAGTTGGAAGTGACCTTGGAAGTCTTCAAGCCTAATCCCCTGCTCAGGCAGGAAACCCTATGCTATTTCAGACACCATTTCACAATTACCACTATTGAGCCACTACCTATACCAGTGGTGGCGAACTTATGGCACGGGTGCCAGAGGCGGCTCTCAGAGCCCTAGGCCTTCAGCTGGGTTTTATAAAACCTTTTCGCTTTAGGCCTCCGCCGCCGTGTGCAAAAAAAAAAAAGGTTCAATCAATCAGTCAATTTCAACTTCTTGCAGGAAAAAAAAGATCTTGCAAAATTGGAATTGATGGATTGAACTTTTTAGTCCCACCCAGTCTGCCATTACCACTGCAGCCATGTCCACCCAATGGGCCATGTCCACCCAATCGGCCACGTCCACTCAATGGGCCATGCCCACCCAGCACCCGACGATACATAAGTGGGTTTTGGGTTGCAGTTTGGGCACTCAGTCTCTAAAAGGTTTGCCATCACTGATCTATACTATACCTGTGGATTTGGTTTTCCTTGCCTAAATGTAGAACCTTACTATTTTCACTGTTGAATTTTCTAGGGGTATCCATAATGTTCCCATTATTGGGCAGACAGCCCTTTTGCATTCCAAATCCAAATCTGGAATTTAGAATTGACTAATGCAGTTCACTTTTTCATGGATTACTGCCTTGTCGTGGTGAAGGGGCTTGCGTAACTCAAGGTATGAGCTATGCTGTGCAGGGCCACCCAAGACAGACAGGTCATAGCAGAGAGTTCTGACAAAATGTGATCCACTGGAGAAGGAAATGGCAACCCACTTCAGTATTTTTGCCATGAAAACCCCATGGACAGTATCAAAAGGCAAAAGGATATGACGCTGGAAGATGAGCCTCTCAGGTCGGAAGGTGTCCAATATGCTACTGGGGAAGAGCAGAGGACTAATACTAGTAGCGCCAGAAAGAGTGAAGCAACTGAACCAAAGCCGAAAGGACACTCAGCTGTGGATGCATCTGGTGGTGAAAGGAAAGTCCAATGCTGTAAAGATCTTTTCTCTGTAGGAACCTGGAATGTAAGATCCATGAATCAAGGCAAACTGGATGTGGTCAAACAACAGATGACAAGACTGAACATCGACATCTTAGGAATCAGCGAGCTAAAATGGACAGGAATGGGTGAATTTAATTCAGAAGACCATCAGGTATACTATTACAAGCAAGAATCCCTCAGAAGAAATGGAGTAGCCTTCAAAGTCAATAAAAGAGTAGGAAAAGCAATACTGGGATACAATCTCCAAAATGACAGAATGATCTCAGTGCAAATCCAAGGCAAACCATTCAATATCACAGTAGTCCAAATCTAGGCCCCAACCACTGGTGCTGAAGAGGATGAAATTGACCGGTTCTATGAAGCCCTATAGTACCTTATAGAATCAACATCAAAAAATGATGTCCTTATCATCATGGGGTATTGGAACGCTAAAGTAGGAAGCCAAAAAATAATTGAAATAACAGGCAAGTTTGGCCTTGGACTACAAAATGAAGCAGGGCACAGCTGATAGAATTTTGTCAAGAGAATATGATGGTCATAGCAAACACTCTTTTCCAACAACCCAAGAGACGGCTCTACACATTGACATCACCAGATGGTCAACACAGAAATCAGATTGATTATGTGCTCTGCAGCCAAAGATGGAGAAGCTCTATACAGTCAGTAAAAACAAGATCAGGAGCTGACTGTGGCTCAGATGGGGTGTTGTCTTACCTGAACGCCTTTTCTCAGCATGAAGAATGTAGACTCCACGAATGGGTTGATTTAGTCTTCTAGCCCAATCAGACCAAACAATCAAAGTTGCCACGCCTCTGCAGGGTCTGACCATGCCCCAGTTTCGAAAGGGCGAAGCGAATGATTGTGTGACGTGATGGCTCCGAACTGCTGACACTAACCTAACTGCTAGTAATGATCAGGGAGGGGTGGAGTCTAAATTCCTCATGCTGAGAAAAGGTGTTCAGGTAAGACAACGCCCCTTCTCCAGCATGTAGAGGAATGTAGACTCCATGAATGGGACATACCAAAGCCCCTATGATCCCACAGGTGGGAAGCAGGTTGGTTAAGTGTCGGTGCTGAAATAGAACACTTGTTGTAAAACCCGATGGCCAAAAGCGGCCTCCGCAGAAGCAAACTTGTCAAGTTTGTAGTGGTGAATGAATGGTGAAGGGGACGACCACGTAGCCGCCTTACAGATGTCCTCAATGGACGCCTGAGTCTGCCACGCCGTCGATGTGGAAGCACTACGAGTAGAGTGCGCTGTCAGGCGGCTTGGGACAGGTAAAGAGGAAGCCTGGTAAGATTGAGCGATACAGGGCTTGATCCACCTGGCTATAGTAGAGGAGGAAACCTTCTGTCCCTTGGAAGTTGAGTGGAAAGAGACAAACAATGCCTCCGATTTGCGAAAGGGGACAAAATGTGAAGAGGACAAGACCTTATAGGTTCAAAGGGAGACCTAGGGAGTGCCTGCAGAACACGAGGTAGTTCCCAAGATGGATACCTGTGTACTACCGGAGGTCTGGTGTTGGAGACTCCTTTCATAAAGGATCGGACCCTGGGATGATGGGACAATGGAGTGGCGTTGGCACAGGTGAACACTATGGAAAGAGCGGCCACCTGTCTACGCAAGGTGTTGGGCGCTAAGCCCTTATCCACTCCATCCATGAGGTATTCAAGAATCATTGGAATAGTGACAGAAGAGATAGACAAACCCTTACAGGTACACCAGTCACAGAAGTTCTTCCAAGTGGCATCATAGATTTGGTTCGTCGCCGGCCGTCTGGAAGCTTGGATCATAGCTATCACCCTTGAAGAGTAAGATCTGCACATCAGGAATTGGCGCTCAGATGCCAGACGGCTAGTTGTAGCCACTGTGGGTCCGGATGGCATATGGCCCCCTGCGTTAGAATTATCCTCTCTGGAGGGATTTGCCAAGGGGGGGCTACGGCGAGGTTCACGAGATCCACGAACCATGGATGCCTTGGCCAATACGGGGCCACAAGGATTAGCTCCGCCCGTTCCTGTAACAGCTTCCTGATGACGGCCGGGATCAAGGGAAGGGGTGGAAATACATATAGAAGGCCCGCCGGCCAAGGGCTGCAGAGGGCGTCTGCTCCTTCCAAACCCTGGGATGGGTACCGAGATAGAAACCGGGGAAGCTGGGTGTTCTTCGAAGATGCAAACAGGTCGACTTTGGGCCAACCGAAATAGTGAGTTATCTCCCGAAAGAGACGGGGATGTAGACGCCACTCTAAATGATCTATCGTAGATCGACTCAGAAAATCTGCCTGGTAGTTTTCCACCCCTGAAATGTGTTCCACCTTTAGGGACAACAGATTCTGTTCCGCCCATGACCACAGACACTGGGCCTCGGACATTAGAATCCGCGATCGAGTGCCGCCCTGCCTGTTGACATGGGCCTTTGCCGCTACGTTGTCTGTCAGAACCAGCGGCCCGCCAACTTTTTGTGGAAATGGCGAAGTGCTAGGTGTCTGGCTCTGAGCTCTAACCAATTGATATTTTTCTTGAGATCCCGTTGAGACCACCGTCCCTGGGCGAATTGGGATTGCAGATGTGCCCCCCATCCAAACAGACTGGCGTCTGTGGTCAAGGTTACCCGAGTCGGTTCTCTGAACAGGGATCCTTTGGACAGTGCTGGGGACAACCACCAGATGAGGGACGTGAGTGTCTGTGGTGGGACTCGCACCCTCTGTGGAAAACATGCTACACCCCGTTTCTGGTAAGGGAGTAGAAACCACTGTAGTTGTCTCATATGAAGCCTGGCCCAAGGCACTATGGCAATACATGAGATCAGTTTCCCTAACAGCTGTGACAGTAGGAGCAGGGTTACATGTTTCTCCTTGCGCACCCTGGTGACCATCGTATGTATGCTGAGCTGACGCTCCTGAGACAGGAAAACTCGGCACTGGCTGGTGTCTATTATTGCGCCTAGGTGGAGCAAACGGTTTGTTGGGATCAGATGGCTCTTTGGGAAGTTGATCATAAATCCATGATCCTGGAGTATCTTGATCGTCAGTGCCACGTCGGAAGGGCGTTCAGTGCCGAGGACGACTGGATTAGTAGCGCTGAACACGGACTGGTATCAACCTGAGCTGTGCGGCGAGAACCGCCAGGATTTTGGTGAAAACCCTTGGAGCTGACGATAGGCCAAATTGCAGGGCCCTGTACTGATAGTGATGGTTGGAATACCTGAATCTGAGGAAACGCCTGTGATTTGGATGTATGGGAATGTGCAGGTAAGCTTCTGTCAGATCTATGGATGTAAGAAAATCCCCCGGCCGAATACTGCCCAGAATAGAATGAAGAGTTTGCATCTT